TATCGTAGGAAGGCTAAGCAATAGATAGGCATTTTATGTAATTCATATGCAGAAGGGGAAAGGCTATAAGCCAGTGCTGAGGTATGTATTAAGCCTGAACAAAAAAGCCAAATTCCGTTTCCTAGGTCCTCAGATCAGGAAGAAAAACAAAGTCCTCTATCTACCAGAAAGCTTGTCGGCTGATGCTACACTGTACTAAGTCAGCTAACCCAATAATACCGCCAAGAGACAATTTCATACCTTTGAGTGACATACATGTGCATGAGAATCAAGAGACATGCAAACCAGCGGTGAAATCTAAAATTACTACTGGTTACTACCGGTTCTGTGGGCGTGGCTTGGTGGGGGGGGGTGGCAATGTGACTGGGTGGGCGTGGTCAAAAAAAATTTTTTTACTTTTAAAACCATTTTTTCTACCTCTTCGGTGAAGAGATTGTAAAAAAATGCTTTCAAAAGGCTCTGACGATCCCAGCTGAGTTGCCTGATCGGCAGAGGCTAAAACCTCTGCCGATCAGGCAACTCAGCTTGGATTGTCAGAGGCATTTAAAAGAATAAAAGGGTTTTTTTCTTTTAAAAGCCTTTGAAGATCCCAGCTGAGCCGCCTAATCATCAGAGGCTTTTTTTTTTTACTTTTAAAAGCATTTTTTCATCCGAAGAGGTTGTAGAAAAAATGCCTTTAAAAGTAAAAAAAAAAAGCCTCTGATGATTGTGCACCTCAGCTGGGCATGGGTGGGGGGGAGGCAAGGATTTTTGCAACCGGTTCTCCAAACCACCCGCCTCCATCGCTACCGGATCAGGCGATCCGGTCTGAACCGGGAGCATTTCACCCCTGATGCAAACCGAGTGTGGTATTTAGAATACTGTGTTTCTGCATGACCAACTAAACCAGTCAAACTCAAGGCCTGTGAGCCAGATCTGGCCCATGGGGTACTTAAATATGGCCCGCAGGGCTGGCCTGGAAATATCAAAGGACCAGCCTGCGGGGCCTCTGCCGGCCAAAATGGGCTGTGGGGAGGCCGTGTGCAGTCCCCCCCATGGCCCATTTTCGGCCTCCCGCAGCACTCTGTTGGCCAAAAAAGGGTCCCTCAGAAGCCCCGCGAAGCCTGTTTTTAGCCTCTCCAGCCTCCAGCAAAAACAGGCCGCACACGGTCTCCCCGCACCCCGTTTTGGCCAGCAGGGTGCTGCAGGGTGGTCTGTCCCATCTGCCCCTCCCGTTCCCCCGCAGAGAACCACAATACTGATCCAGCCTTCGAAAAAATCCAGGTTGACACCCCTGAACTAAACCATGAAAAATTGAAGTGCATGTACACATTAACATCCTTAAAAGGCTCTTCCGGCAAAATGAGTATCCAACAGCTTTGGTTTATGATTGTTTGGCAACAAGGAAAGTAACTCAAGTTTCCTTGCTGCATCTGAGTCTCCCACGGTCGCAGCTTAACTTGAAAGGCTTTCACTGCATCATACATATCCGTGATCACACGATCCCATCCTTGAAGCTGAAGGTTTAGCGCAGCGAGATGCTTAGTTATATCACGCAGAAAAGCTAACTCACACAGCCACTTTTCATCCCTCAATACCGTGGAGTCTTTTTCTTTACTTTCCATGAATTGACAGATTCCCTTAAGCAACTCGAAAAATCTATTGGGCACTTTTTCTCAACTTAGCCATTGCACCTTTGTGTGATAGGGCAGATCACCAAATTCAGAATGTATTTCTTCCAGAAAAGACTTAAATTGACGGTGATTTAAACCTTTGGCTCTTATAAAGTTAACTGTCTGTGTTGCAGTGCTCATTACATATTCCATCTTTAGGGCTTTGCCGCATAGTGTTTCCTGGTGTATGATGCAGCGATATGCTATCAGCTCACTGGTACAATTGTCGCTCTTTATCTTCTCTTGCATTTTTCCCACTAATCCACTCTTTTCTCTGCACATCAAAGGTGCTCTATCTGTTGTCAGTCCCGTACATTTGTCCCAGGGCAGTTTCATGTCATTTACACATTTAGATACGGCTTCAAATATGTCTTTTCCTGTGGTAGTGCCATGCATGGAGAAGACTCCTGGAGAAGACTGCAGTCCCTTGGACTGCAAGGCGATCAAACAGGTCAGTCCTAGAGGAGATCAACCCTGACTGCTCTTTAGAAGGCCAGATCCTGAAGATGAAACTCAAATACTTTGGCCACCTAATGAGAAGGAAGGACTCACTGAAGAAGAGCTTAATGCTGGGAACGATTGAGGGCAAAAATATCCAAAAGTTCCACTGTAACGCATAAACCTGAGTCCACTCCACGGATGAAGATTGTCAGCTGTGCCGTGCCAATGATGTCAGTGCTCTCATCCACAGCAAGGGAATAAGCAATGAAATCTTTTCCCTTTTCAATCAACTGTATTTGTAAATCAGTGGCAAGCTCACATATCTGATCAGCAACAGTATTTCTGCTTAGGCTTTCATTAAGAAATGCTTGTTTTTGATCTGGACGCAAGACTTCGCATACTTTAATCATACAGCACTTCAAAAACTCTCCCTCTGTAAATGGCCGGGCTGATTTAGCTATCTCTTCTGCCACTATAAAACTAGCTTTCATAGCAGCTTCACTTTGGGATTTTGCTTTTCTGAACACACACTGCCCTGACGTCAGACTCTTTTTAAACTCTTCCACCTTCTTTAGCTTCTGCTGTATGTCCAGTTTTTTATACTTCTGATGTTGTCTCACAGTGCTGTCTCATGTTATAATCTTCAAGTACAGCCACATTATTATTATTATTATTAAATTTATATCCCGCCCTTCTCCCCGAAGGGACTCAGGGCGGTGAACAGCCGAGAATTAAAATAACATACAATATAAAAGTTAAAATAATTAAAAATAAATTAAATTAAACAGCCGCCCCAATTTAAAAACCCCTAGCAATACAATTAAAAAACTAACCCATAAAACCTATTCAGGCCAGGCCGGCTTGCTGAAATAAAAACATCTTCAGGGCCTTACGGAAAGTGCGGAGATCCGGGATCAGCCGTATTCCAGGAGGTAGCTCGTCCCAGAGGGCGGGTACTCCCACAGAGAAGGCTCTCCCCCTGGGGGCCGCCAGCCGACATTGCTTGACCGACGGCACCCTGAGGAGGCCCTCTCTGTGCGAGCGTATTGGCCGGTGGGAGGTTATCGGTAGCAGAAGGCGGTCTCGTAAATACCCTGGCCCTAAGCCATGGAGCGCTTTAAAGGTGAGAACGAACACCTTTAAGCACACCTGGAAGACCACCAGGAGCCAGTGCAGCTTGCGCAGGAGAGGTGTTATATGGGAGCGCCATGTCGCTCCCGTGATCACCCGCGCGGCCGCATTCTGGACCAGTTGGAGCCTCTGGGTGCTCCTCAAGGGGAGCCCCATGTAGAGAGCATTAGCGTAGTCCAGGCAAGAAGTGACGAGAGCATGAGTGACTGTGCATAAGGAATCCCGACTCATAAAGGGGCGCAACTGGCGTATCAGTTGCACATTAGCTCTGCAAACAATGCACACGGCCTTATATTCAGTGTCAACAAACCGGTACTCTGCCTCCCACCTCTTTTGAAAGCACCTGCTTTCAAAGTCCATTTTCCTTTTGGCCATTTTTGGGGGGCGGTTTAAATATCAGTATAGGCACGCAGGTCCTCTTCACGGCAGATGTTGTACATATGGAGTATGAGACTGCACAGAAAGCTCTAAGTCCCAGATGCTGCAGGGGCGATCAGTTGTGAGTGCTTTAGGTATCCACTCTGGAGGCTCAGTAGGATGCTATGAGTCTGGATCTTCTGGGGTATAAGGGGAGCCGTTCTGACGGGGGTGGGGGGAGATGGAGTCCCCAGTGTGAGTCTGCTAGTGTTGGACCGGCTTTCTGGTTTGACAGATGACGCTTGCAGGTGTTATCTCTGGAAGATGCTGAGCTGTTCCCTGGTGGAGGAGTGAGTTGAGTTTGACATGCCTATCTTAGAGGAAGTCAATCTACATGTTTTTTTGGGGACAAACAAAATCCAGAAAGTCTTAAAACCTGGTGTAAATCAATCAGCACCCACCAAGCCATAATATACAAATTGTAAACCTAAACATACACAAGAGACACTTTTACATTGGAGAAGAGTGTGCTGAAGCAGAATCTAGTGTGTTAAAAAAACTCCAGAAGGTGGTTGCTAACGGCTGAATAAGAAGGGGAACAGACAGATGATTGTTCTGCTCTGTAGCAGCACTTCTAATACTTAATACCGAGGTGGGAAACTATATGGCCCTTTTGTTATATTATGAAGAAAGCTACGAAAGGTAAACCAAATGCTATTCTTTAAATAGAGTTATAGATTTTAACCCAGGAGACCTCAGTTAAAATGTCTGTTCTGCTACTGTAATCTTCTCAGGCCAGACATTATGGTTTGATGCAAACACGCAAGATAAAATTCAATAAGTCTATGTATGAATGAACTTATTTGTTTACTTGCCTTATTTACAATTTTCTCCCTGCCTCTTGCCCCCAGATAATACCCCATCTGATTTTAACCTCCGGCTCTCCCCTGTCCCCACTAAAACTCTAATTTGTTGACAGTAAATAGATATGGCCTTCCCTTAAACAACTGGAGCAAGAATTATAGAGAACATATACATGAAATTCTTAGGTAAACAGTACAAAAATTCAATATTTCTGTGCTCAGGCTTGGTTAAAACTGTGAAAGTGTAAACTGTATCGCTGGGCTGGGCTGGGTAAAAATAAGTAAATTTGGACCTGACCAAGTATTAGTTTACATAAACTCCTTTGATTTCACTTAAGCATGATAGATAAGAGAGTGCTTTTCCTGTTTCAAACAATGACAGAACTTAAAGTCCTCTATTTGATAAGAGTGCAATTTACAAGAGATTCAGAACTTAGTTCATGGGGAAATGATGGAGTTTGAATCTACAGATGTTAAAGGAGATGAAGTAATATATGTAAATATAAATGATTTCAAACTCAAGTCATCAAAGTTCCAAAGAGACTTAAGCAGAGGCTTAGAAAAAGTAACATATTTTATTTAATAAAGCAAAATAGCTGGGTGGACAGTTCCACTGCACACAAGCAATAAGCATGAAAGGAAGAGTCACACCTGAGAAGAGTGTGGCGAACATCTTATACATTCATGTAGCCAATCAGACAAAAGTTTGTCACCCACCCATTGAGCATTCCTTGTCCATGCCCTGCTTATCTATACAGCATTCCTTATAGGCTTGTGCATTCGTGTCCTCATCTATTTTGAATCAACCGTGGGCAGCTCTGTGCTCTACCCTTCTTATCTATTGAGCAAGGCTGTCCCTGGTGTCAGCGAAGAAGCAAGAAACAAGCGAGAAAGCAAGGAGCAAGATAGTAGGAATTAAACTATGACTAATTTGTAATAACTATATAACTAATATCCCTTCATTCCTCCCTTTACTTCAGGACAGGATGCTTCCTGTCAATGATTGACCAGGAGGGTGAACTCTTTGGAGATGGTATGGAGGACCATAACCTTTGCCGGTTTCTCAGGAGAGTGAGCGGACACTGATGAGGTTGACTGTCATCCCAGTGATGGTGGACCAGACCACACGCTGGATCAGTGCAATGAAACAGGAGAGGAGGAGACCTCCAAAGCTAACAGCACTAGAAACCCAATCCTTTTCCAACCAGAGAAGATACCGCCAAACGAGTTGAAGTCAACTGCCCCATTCCAAGTCTGCACTGGGACGTGTGCAACTTTCATCATACTGTCAGTGATCTCCTTTATCATTTTAGTAGTATCATCAATTTTTATGCAGCAGTTGCTAGGGTTGCATTTCCTACAAACTCCATCTTCTTGAGCAAGCAAATAGTCTGAGGCGAGACGTTTCTGGTAGGCAGCAGTAGGAATTTGGGTGTTAGACTTAGCAAGCAGTTCAGGGGATGTGCTCATAGCATTGGTGATAGTTTCAACATCAGCTTGAAGACGAATCAAGTGGTTTGGGAGATAGATTGGGGTTCTATAGCCATTCATCCCATCCTCTGCCCAGGTTGCTGGGCCATATATCTGGATACTTCTCTCTGTAGGCCAGTCATCATTTCCCCAAGTATTCTGGCTGGTAATCTGTAGGGACCTTTTTTGTCTTTGACCTATCTCGTCAGACATTTGGACACCAAGTCTCTTTCCCGGAACAATGGGTAAAAGGAAGAAACTGGGATTGATGGTGCCCAAGACACAAGTCCCGCTCCATTTCTCTGGGAGGGACACGTAAGCCTTTTTCCCACAAATCCAAAATAATCCATCTGGGGCTGGCCAGGAGAAGGATGCATCATGTAGGCGGTCCCAGATGGAGGACAACTGCTTATAAGAAGAAAATGGGTTATCAGGGCGACTTCCATTTGTCCCTGACCACCAGGTGGCACTGTCATTGGCGGCTAATACATTTTGACAGACCAAGTCCCCCAAGGGGATTGTAACAAGTCGTGAGCTAGTCCTTTGAAAGCAAGTGTTACCGATGATCGAGGTTTTCAGATTCCACTCACGGGGCCGGTCCACAGAGGACCAGGTGAGGTTCATTTGGTGTAGGGTGGTCAGGTTTACTTCCCTAGACTCCCATGGCCACTGTTCTCCCACATTGGCTCCTCCACAAACATAGCAGTTGGTTACATTGAGGGAGGACACAATTCTCTCAGCTAAATCTATAAAAAGATTTTTTGTTACCGAGGGAATGTTCATTTTTGTTTCCATTTCCTCATAAAACGAATGGAACACAGTAAATCGCTGAGGCTGGTGTACTGTTTTTGTGATTTTGATTTCAATCTGACCATAGGGGTCTGCCCCCGTTCCATGGGGGTTGAAGCATATGGGACTTCCATTATTGGGACAAATCTCATAACTGGTGGTGTTGTGGACACAGGACGTGGTTTGCTCCTTACAATTGTAGTGGGAATGGTAGACGAGGGTCTTTGTGACCTTGTTTCCGCGGCGGGTAGTGACCAAACATTGCTCACACTGAGACCGGGAGACTTCAGCTTTGGGTGTAGAAGTCCCTAGGATCAAAAATGTTAAGATAAGTTGTTGAGCCAAAGTAAAGGTGGGCGCCATCACTTCTTTGTCCCAGGAACTTGCAGGGAAACCACCAGCAGCAAATCAAGAAAACAGCAAACACAGCAAATCAAGCGTATTCAATGTGTGTCTAGTCCATTTAGGAGAACAGGTCAGTGGGGGAAGCTGGAGTGAGGCAAAGCTTCAGCTTGAGTCCTTCTAGCTGCTAGGCTTGCCACCACTCGGAGGCCTTGCAAACGTGCTTAACCCTGGATCCGTGAACCCACACTTTAACACCTTCCACTTTCACGGCCGTTGGAGTGCTTAGGAGTACTTGGCGAGGTATGGACCATTTGGGTTCGGTGCAAGCAGGAGACGGTTCTTTAATTCTTACCCACTGGCCTGGTTCAGCCAGTGGTGGCGAATCAGGAGCCGGAGGTAGAGCAGACTGGACCTGTTTAGAGATAGAGGACAAAACCTGCACCAGATTATGCAAATATTGGGAGATATTTTTCCCCTTCGCAGGAGTCCTGCAGGATAGTTGCAACAAAGGGCCTCCCATACATCATTTCAAAGGGCAACAGTCACAATTTCTCTGAGGGCAGGGCCCTAATTCTGGCTAAGGTTATTGGTAATACTTTTGGCCATGGGAATTGGGTTTCCTGACAAAATTTGGATAGCTGTGTTTTTAAAGTTCGGTTCATGAGTTCCACTTTCGCTGAGGCTTGGGGCCTGTAACTAGAGTGGAGATGCCAAGGGATGCCCAGGAATTTACTAACGTCCTGAATGACCTGTGAGGTAAAAGGCCTTCCATTGTCAGACTCGAGACCTTTGGGGACCCTAAATCTCAGAATGATTTGTTCAACTAAGGCATTCACCATCTCTTTTGCTTTTTGAGTTGGGATGGCTTCTGGCCACCCGGTGAATATGTCTACAAACACAAGTAGGTTGGATTTGGCTTCCTTCCTGGGGAATTTGGTGAAGTCCACTTGCCAAGCCTCCCCTGGATATCGGGCAGTTCAGAGATGGCCAAGAGGAACCGGACTGCCTCCTCAGGGGTTGTTCCTCAATTCCAGAGCTGGAGCTGCAGAAGCGGAGACTGATGTTAACAGCTGTAAACATCGGTCCCCGCTTCTGAAGCTCCAGCTCTGTCTCTCCTCCCTTCACTTTCTCCCAGGGCGAGGACCCCGTCCCCTAGGCGGACCCCACAAGACACCTGATCCCCAATCGGCGAACTCTGTGCTGGGGCAATGGCACGTGTGCCCACAGAGAGGTCTCTAGCACGCGTGCCATAGGTTCACCACCACTGGCCTGTGGTGTTCCAGTGGGGTCCTCCCACTGAAAGCATCTTTTAAATATATGATAGTGTACCAGTTCTGATCTCTAGAGAGAGTGGTCAATAAAATATATGGATTCGTCACCACAGGATGCAGTGAGCGGATCCAGGAATTGACTTCTCAAAGATTGTGGACAAATCTCCAAGTCCCATCAGGCTTAGGGACAGGAAAAATTGGTGTTGACCATCATGACTGGGTATAAACAAGAAGTCCAGTTTCAGTTTTCAGTAAAAGTTCTCTCTGGGCCTTGATGCCAACCCGGGCTTCTCGTTTGATAGAGTACTGCCAGATTGCTACAGGTTGGGCGTCTGGGAGGAGTTGAGCCATGTGGGAAGTGGCAAATTGTGCAAACCCAGGGGTTCCTTGGTACCACACCTAGGGATTTATCTTCTGAGTTAGGCTCTGCAGTAATTGGTCCCTTCACCCAAAAACAAAGATAGGTTCTTTCTGAAAGTATTCTAAGGGAGATGCCCTTTTGGGTGCATTGTATGACGGCTCCCAGAACAGGGCTGTTTCGCTAGAACAGGGGTGTCAAACTCAAGGCCCATGGGCCGAATCTGACCCACAGGGTGCTTAGAACCGGCCCATGGGGCCGGCCTGGAAATAGCAAAAGACCGCCCCGCGGTGCCTCTGCTAGCAAAAACGGGGCGTTGGGGGGTCCTGCAGGAGGCTGGCCGTCCTGTTATCTCCCCCCCGGCTGGCCTGCAGAGAACAACTACAATGCTGATCCAGCCCTCCAAGAAATCCAGTTTGACACCCCTGAACTAAGACTAATTTGTAATAACTATATCCCTTCAACATAATTCAATAAGATGAGCCGTTCTTCTTAAACCTACGTTTTGAGACCAACAGTTGCTATCCACTTGGGAGATGCACTTAATATATTGCAAGTAAATTATTAAAAGAAATGCAGCAAAAAAACATTTCTGCAAGTGCAGAAAAAAAAAGCATGACATATCATGAAGATTTCTGACAAAAAGATCAGTTACTTGCTGCTCATTGATCTTTCCACACTCCAGCTTTCCAAGTTTATTGCTTTATGTAGGAAGCATGTTTTTTTTACAATCTTAGGCTTGCTTATTTTTTTAAAATAATAGCCAAATACATATTGCTGCATTATCATAAGACAGAACTGGTGACGTGTATTTCTACTGCCCTCAACTGGTACTTTAGAGGAATTTTTATTCCTTTCAGCTCATTTGTTCTCAAAATACAGAACAGTGTTAGCGGTCTGGCTGACTACTATGAGATACAGAATGATCTAACAGGATTCTTATAATTTTCTGTGCTGTTAAAAAGACTTTTGGATCTTTTTTTACAACAACTTTTGGCCCTTCATATGTTTACCCCCAGGAGTGGGGCAGCATTTAAAATCAATTAACTATTATTATCTTTTCTATGTTAACTATGAGAGCCAGGTTGGTGCAGTGGTTAGGGCATCAGACTGGAAACCAGAAGACAGTGAGTTCTACTCATGCCTTAGGCCTAGGAAGGAGGCAATGGAAAACTACTTCTGAAAAACATAGCAGGGATGTGTCCAGGCAGCCTCAGAGAGCTGGACAGAAGCGAATGTGGGGGATATCTACATTGATATCTAAACTAGTGTAGGAAGTTAGCACCCACCCCTCTCCTAGAAAAATGAAATATTCTAGGAAATATTAAAAGGCAGAATATTTCCCCTAAAAGAGAAATAGAAATCTTAAAACAGAAACTCAGCCCCAGTTCCCTGACCTCAGCAGATACTTCGGTTATTTACAAGACAAAAGACATGGCTCTCAGGACATGATAGGATTAGCCCTCACTCAAGATCCAAACTAGGACAAAGCCATTAAGCCATAACAGGAATTGCCCAAAGCCCCTTCATTACATCATCACCCAGCAAGATTCAATCAGGTTACAAAGTTAGCTAAGACCCCCGCCCCATGGGAGTCTGACAGCCAATGGAATATATTTCTTGTACAGGAACAGGAAACTCTAAGGCAGGACCCAAGAGAGTATATAAATATATCCCTCTCTCCACTTCATGTGCTCTTTTTGCCCAGGACCTCAAACCACGTGGCCCTGTCCACCATGGTGGCTCAGCAGACTGATAGCATTGTGATTAACACCAGCTGTCTGCAATTACTGTAAGTTCGAATCTCATCAGGCTCAAGGTTGACTCAGCCTTCCATCCTTTCTAAGGTAGGTAAATTGAGGACCCAGTTTGTGGGGGCAATAAGCTGACTTTGTATAAATATACAAAAGTATGAAGGCTATTGCTTAACGCATTGTAAGCAGCCCTGAGTCTCCGGAGAAGGGCGGCATGTAAATCAAATAAAAAAATTAAATTAAATTAAACCACCTTTCCAAGCACTCTCCATGTTTCCAATGTCTTTCTTCCCACTTGGAACTGAACCCAAATGGACATTTCTTCCAACACTAGCAAGCTTAAGTATGAACTCTTAACCATATTCAATAAGGTTCACATTTCAAATTCCTCCACCAGATGCTTCATCTCCAAAGTTTGTCTGGGACAGTTTACAGAAACATGCCACTCAGAAGCAATCCCATCAAGATCCTAAATCACCCTGTGATACCAGAATCAACCTGGATATGAATGGAATGATCAGCAAGATTGGCAGAAAGTTCAAGTACCCATTGGAATAGGGATAGATCTATAAAAAATCTGGAGTGGGCCATTTAACTATATGTGTATACACATAGTTGTGTCTGTGTGTGTTTGTGTATACAGGTACTACCGGTACTTGAATTACATAATTCGTTTAGTGGCAATTCAAAGTTATAAAGGCACTGAAAAAAATGACTGATGACTGTTTACACTTATGACTGTTGTAGCATTCCCATAATTACTTGATCAAAATTCAAACTGGCATCGGACCTCTGTTTATGATGCTTGCAGTGTCCCGGAGTCCCTTGATCATCTTTTGAGACCTTCAACAAAGTAAAGTCAATGGGGAAACCAGATTCACTTAAAAATCGGGATATTAACATAACAACTGCAGTCATTCACCTAATAACTGTGCCATTAAAAGTAGTAAAATAGGGCAAAACTCACTTAACAATTGTCTTGTTTAGCACAGAAATTTTGGGCTCAATTGTGGTCATAAGTCAAGGATCACCTGTAAATGTGTATAGATACAGTATGTATATATTAAAATGGCCCATCAATATATGAAATGAACATTTATTAATGATGAAGTTTCCAGAATTTGTTTCAGCTACAGTTGGCATTCTTAGGACGGGAAAATGAGCTGACAATTATGCAGAATTTTTGTTTATAACTTTTGTTTCTGGCTATTCTTCTTTTTGGGAATGCTGTCTTAAAACAGAATTGTCTGCCCAAAAGGCTGTACATGAAATGATTTCAATTTTCTTTCATCTAAAGCTTTAAAAAGAAAAACTACAGTCGATTTTGCTATATTTCAGCCATGACTTAAGACTTCTCTTTTTTCCCTTCTTCTGTATACTTTTCCAACATGTTTTCTTCAGTCTGATCCATTTGGGTACCTGTCTCATGCAGTATGTTATTTTTTTTTCATCAAGACTTACTATTTAAAATGATAATATGAAAGCATTTCTGGAACTTAAGCCAAAGTACAATAATCTTAAATGGTCTCATATCAACATAATTTATAAGATAACATTATCTATTACAAAGACTATTATAGACAACTGAAACTGGTTTTTGCCTCATAATCAATAAAGTATAGGAAGCATTTTATTAAGAAAATGAATTATTTCTGCCACTTTTATTCAGGGTGGATTTGATTTAAATCAAATCAATTTAAGTCACAATTTAAATCATGATTTAAATCAACTTGATTTAAATCATAATTTTTAAACAGCAACTGTCATCTCTGTCCCGCAACAGCTCCTCCTCTGACCCGCTGTTGACTCACCGGACAGCCCCAATATTGCAGAATATACAGTCTCATGCTATATAACTAAGCTCCATTTCATACTGAATAAAGTAATTATTAATGGATCTTAAATAAAAAACTATCTTTAGATAGATTTTTAGTCCAAAAGCATTTTATTAAAATAAATATTAAAAATTTTAAAAATCAGATTTAAATTTTAAAAACCCTATATATATATATATATATGTATATATATATATATATGTATGTATATATATATCTCATTGGTTTTTATGTACCCTGCTGTTTTATAATAATATATATATATATAATAATTTTATAATAAATAATAATAATAATAATAATAATAATAATAATAATAATAATAATAATAATTTTATTTCTATACCGCCCTTCTCCCGAAGGACTCAGGGCGGTGTACAGCCAATTTAAAAACACAAGACACAACAATGATTAAAAATTAAAATAATTAAATAGATTTGGCCGATTTAAAACCCCAAAAATTTAACATACCCCAATTTAAAATTATTATGTTGATAGCCCGGCCTGGCGGAACAACAGGGTCTTCAATGCGCAGCGAAACACCCGGAGGTCGGAGATCTTACGTATTTCCGGGGGCAGTTCATTCCACAGGGCTGGGGCTCCCACAGAGACACCCCCTGGGTGTCGCCAGCCGACATAACTTGGCTGATGGCACCCTGAGGAGACCCTCTCTGTGGGAGCGGACTAGTCGGTGGGAGGCTATTGGTGGCAGAAGATGGTCTCGAAGGTACCCGGGTCCTATGCCATGGAGCGCTTTAAAGGTGGTAACCAACACCTTGAATCGCACCCGGAAGACCACTGGGAGCCAGTGCAGCTCGCGCAGGAGGGGTGTCACGCGGGCACAACGAGTTGCGCCCATAACCACCCGCGCGGCCGCATTCTGGACCAGTTGGAGCCTCCGAGTGCTCTTAAAGGGGAGCCCCATGTAGAGAGCATTACAATAGTCCAGCCGGGAGGTGACAAGGGCATGAGTGATCGTGCGCAAGGTGTCCCGGTCCAGAAAGGGCTGCAACTGGCGGATCAGGCGAACCTGATAAAAGGCCCCCCTGGCCACGGCCGTCATATGCTCTTCTAAAGACAGCCGTGCATCCAGGAGGACACCCAGATTGCGAGCCCTCTCTGTGGGGGGGCAAAGATTCACCCCCAATAGTCAGCGATGGCACCTGCTGACTATATCGGGACGCCGGCAGCCACAGTCACTTGGTCTTGGACGGGTTGAGTCTGAGCCTGTTCCTCCCCATCCAGACACGCACGGCCTCCAGGCAGCGAGACATCACATCAAGGGCATCGTTGGGGTGGTCTGGGGTGGAGATGTAATGCTAGGCAACTCATTAAATAAAACCAGGAATTTCACAATGGGAGATAGGCAACACAAAAGCAGCATTTTAAAGCCACTTTTACATCATCAGGTCCTTGGTAGGCAACTGTTTATTGTGGAAGGTACAAAGCTGATTCTAATCTAATCTGTTTAGATCAGCCTGTTTCTGGCCTATACTTTCTGCAGTAACCAGAAGGCTAGAACAACAGCTATTATAAGCAGTGACTCTGTTGTGACTTGTTCATCTTGTGCTTTAACTCCCTTATTGTGTATTGTTTCTCCCTACTCATTTATTGTATCTCTTTTAACATTTCATTCCTTCCAAACATTGTTTTGCCACATTGCACTCATTCCTCCTCTCCTTTCTGAATCTCCCTGCACCCACAAACTCATTCCTTCCATCTTTTATTTCCTTAAAAAATACCATTTCCCTCTTCTTCACCTCCATTTTCATGCTGTAAACCTAATTATAGAGCTGCTATGTCTTCCCATCATTTTTTTCCTACAGAAGAAAATCCCTTACAATCACAACTAAGCCCAACATTTCTAAGCAAGACAGTTAAGTGAATTTTGCCAGGACATGCCACTTGGTGTCTGAATTCTGATCACATAACCATGGGGGATGCAGCAGTGGTATGGAAAAGTCACCTTTTTCAATGCCGTTATAACTTCCAACAGTCACTAAATGAAATGGTTGCAAGTTGAGGATTGCCTGTAGCCTTTTCTATTATTGTACCCTTTTTTTCCCTTTCTTTGTATAAAATGTATAGAATCCCCACGTGCAACCATGTAATCTAAAGCATGTGGTTTTTATTTCCTTTGTATAGGGGGAATTCTCTCTTCCTCTTTCTCGATTTGTTTTTCACCTTCCATTTTGACCATAGCTTGCTTTTTCTGCGTTTTTCCTTTATTTCAATTGCAACACACACGAGACCACATAAGAGAGTGACTTTGGTGTTAGGCAAAACGAGGCAGAAACGGGACAGGAAACGAGATGCAGTGAATTCGAGCCGTGCCTTAGGCATGTTGGAAGAAATGTCCATCTGGGTTCAGTTCCAAGTGTGGAAAAAAGACCCTGGAAACATGGAGACTGCTTGGAAAGAGGGTTTAATGTTGGACAGGAATCACATGGCTTGAGTTCCTGAACAGAAAAAAGGGAAGAGATGCAGAAAGTGCTGGCTGATGTAATCTTCCCAGGTGCCATGTGGGGAGTTTCTGTTGCTCCTTTTGTGTTGCAGATGTGATTCTGAGGCCTTAATGGCCCATTTGCAAAGGTGTGTGTGTGGGGAAGGGGGGAGAAAATGACTTTCTGCCTCCCTTTTAGGGGAGGAAATATTCTGACTTTTTAGTATATCCTATAATATTTCATATTTCTAGGAGAGGGGTCTGTTTTAACTTCCAACACATATATAGAATATAGAATAGTAGAGTTGGAAGGGGCCTTGGAGATCTTCTCGTCCAACCCTCTGCTGGAGCAGGAGAGGAGACCATATATAAATGAAGTTCCAAGGACCCCTCATATCAACCCTGAGCCACAACTATTCTCCTTTATTATAAATACAAACGCACATACACATAAATACCCTCTTTCTTTTTATAACCACCTTCATTCCTTCCCCAACCGCGTTAAAGATTACTTACCTCAGTCAGTTCCCTCCGAAAATAACCACCGACGGCAAATCTCCCGCCAAAAGCTCGCGCTGGCTCCTGGAACTTGTAGTCTTTTCCCTCCCGGACTCGCCTCCCGATGACGCGATTGGACGGCCAGAGGCAGACCCGGATGTGTTGCTATGGCGGCGGTGCCCCCCTTCAGAGGCCTGGTCTCCGTGTTGGAAACCTACCGGGGCAGAGACCGAGTGGTGAGAAGAGGGTGGAAGATCGAAGGGCGCTCCCTTCACCGCCCTTGTTTTTTTGGGGGGGCTAAGAGGAGCGGGCGCGGGACGGGTACTGGATGCTTTGTGTTCGTTGGGATTCCCCTCGGGTTGCCCGGAGGATTTACACAGCAGAGCAAGCTACAGCAGGGGTCTCCAACCTCGGTAACTTTAAGACTTGTGGACTTCAACTCCCAGAATTCCTCAGCCAGCAAAACTGGCTGAGGAAATTCTGGGAGTTGAAGTCCACAAGTCTTAAAGTTGCCAGGTTGGAGACCCCTGAGCTAGAGGATGCTCTATCTATGGAAAGCAAAAGGAGAGAGGGCGTCCAAGAGAAAGTTCCCAAATCCACAATGGGCAATGTGTGTGTGTGGGGGGGGGGGACACTACAACTCTCATCATCCACTGTTAGCGTAACCATGGGAGTTGTAATCCAGGACACTTGAGGAGCGCTGGTTGGAACTCATCAAAACTCCCAATAGAGACGAATTTGGGCATCTGCCATATTTAGGAATAGAATAGAGCTGGAAGGGACCTTGGAGGTCTTCTAGTCCAGCCCCCTGCTCAAGCAGGAGAACCTATGCCATTTCAGATAAGTGACTGTCTAGTCTTCTTCTTAAAAACCTCTAGTGATGGAGCGCTACCAGTTTCTCTACACTCCTCTTACTCATGCATCCCTCCTCAAGCTAGTACTTTAGCAGAGCCAAAAGGTTTATGGTCCCAATAAAGGAGAATATTTTTAGCTCAGGGTTGAAATGACCAGGGTTGGTGCTCTCTGAGCTTGGCTGTTTTCTTGCAGAGTTTCATTATTCATACTAGGTAACATCATCAGTGCGGATGTTACCTAGTTTAAGTAATGAAATGTCTGCAAGCAAACAACCAAGCTCAGAGGTTTATGGTTTCCTGGACATGAGAGGTACCATATAGAGCAGAGGTCTTCAAACTTGGCAGCTTTAAGACTTGTGGACTTCAACTCCCAGAATTCTCCAGCCAGCCGGCTGGCTGGAGAATTTTGGGAGTTGAAGTCCATAAGTCTTAAAGCTGCCAAGTTTGAAGGCCTCTGATATAGAGAAAGGCTGAATTGTGATTCCAGGATCTTGAAGAACTGGGAAGCCTATGTGTTATTTTATAATTTGGATTGCTCCTAGAGGGGGATGGAGAGAGAGAGAGAGAGAAAGATCCCAAAGGAAGAAGGAAAGCACATTTTGAGATCACAGTGTTCGTTGCATTGTATTCTTATCTCTTTATTTAACATTGGATCTGTAAGCTATAAATAATATATGTTTCTCATGACGTATTTAAACTTCATACAGGCAGGTAAAATGTACACACAAAATGTAGTGCACAAAACAAGTAGAAAACATGAAATTTGATAAATTAAAAGGCACTAACAAATAATTACGTTTCTAGCCATTTTTTTGGCTAGCCTTGTCTTCCACTTCTAATTTATGCACCATATATAGATACTTAAAAGATCCCTGCCCATTACAGTTGGGATTAGACAACCCATGTGACTCTTTGGATTATCACTTCAGAAATATTTCCTTACCAGATTCCACTTGAAAAGTTCTTAAAAATTCAGGGAGATATTCAAAGAGACATCTGCCTTGAAAGAAGCCTATGTTGAACATAGCACAAACGTCAGCACAGGAAATGTTTTATGATATTTTGTATTGTGTCATAAACTGTGTCATGATCATTTTTGTTATAAAACGTTATATGCCATTTGACAAATTTTAATTCCACGAGAGTCATCAATCCCAGATTGTGGATACTTTGTGTAAATTACGCCATTTAAGGTAATTTGGTTCAAAATTTGTTGCTCTGATGCACTGTTTTACCCTGTTAAAGGTTACAAGAGTTTTAGTATTTAGTACATATGTTTTGAGGTTCTAAGGATATCATTTGGTGAGCCCCCCCCCAAGGATCTTTTGCAGAGGCCCTCAAATCTAGCATCAAATGTAGCACAATCCCTTGTTCTCCAAATTATGATTAAATCCTTCACATACATGAAAGAATAGATTTTACCATATCATGTTCCTCTAAAATTTAGTACACTAAAAATTGAAATATATTTTTTCAGTCATCTATAACACTTTAGTAAAACAGGAGCCAATTAATTGTTTTAAAAAAAATAATAAATTGGGGCGGGGAGAAAAAAGCTAGCTTATCTTTGAAATTAACCCTCTCAATTTAAAGATATTTGTAAAGTATTTGGCAATAGTAAGAGGATATGAAAAAATATGGCCTACAAAACACCTTTTAATTTTGTCCTGTTCTCAAAGTTTGGAGATTTTCTGGGGATACATGGCTCTTTAATAAAAATATAATTAGCAAATGGTAGTAATGCTTTATACAATAAATCTTCCCACATAAGATACGCACCATCTGTTATGGCTGCCAGCTGGCTGGAGGGATTTTGGTGGCCAGAAGGCAACCTGGAGAACCATCCCTTGGCCAAGGCCTCCTGACTGTCTCAGCACAACTGAGTCACTGTCGAACAGTTCTACGCCTTTTTGACGACCTAGCCATGCTTTCCTATAGCTGCCAGTATGGACTGGGGAACAAGGTAAGACATCCCAGAAAGCGGATGCTGTCCACAAAGTTGAATGTTAATGGGGCATTTGCAAAAAAAAAAAAAAGTCAAATCTTATCCTGGTCCACGGCCTCCAAATGCAAGAAAGATATTATTATTCAAATTTATTATTCAAATTTCTATACCGCCCTTCTCCTTTCGGACATAAGATTGCAAGCAACAATAAGCAAAACCCATTCCTGGATATAGGGACCTTACAGGTCTGGGTCTGGGTCTGGATCTGGGTCTGGGTCTGGGTCTGATCTGATCTGTCTGTCTATCTGCCTCTCTCTCTGTCTCTCTATCTCTCTTTAAATTTGACCTACTAATACAGAATAGAACAAAATACTATAATAAAGGGTATTTGTAAACAATGGACCCAGAAGTTTACTTTAATTGTGTCTACCATATAGATTGTTTTTAAAACAAGAAGAGCCGAGGTGGCGCAGTGGTTAGAGTGCAGTACTGCAGCTACTTCAGCTGACTGCTAGTTCAGCAGATCAGCGGATCAAATCTCACCGGCTCAAGGTTGACTCAGCCTTCCATCCTTCCGAGGTGGGTAAAATGAGGACCCAGATTGTCGGGGGCAATATGCTATTTAGCATACTGTCTTTGGTGTAAGCCGCCCAGAGTCCTCGGAGAGTGGGCAGCATAGAAATATGACTAATAATAATAATAATAATAATAATAATAATAATAAAGATGTTATGAAATAGGAGCAAATTTTACTGGACAAGGCTGAAACTGATCTGAAAGTGGATTTTAAAATGAGAGGCTGCAAGAATGATATAGAAAAAGATGTGACACTGCATATATATATAGCAGCTGAATGAAACCAGCTAATGTCTTAAAAATTAAAGGGGATTTATAAATAAAAGAGTGACCTGGGTAACTTTTCTATAATGGATTTACAATGAGAATTGTTAAAGCTTTGAAGAATTTTGTGAGAAGGGACAAAGGAAAAATGAAATCAAGTTCTAATATATTATTTGAAGGGATTAAAGATCAAGATTGCTTAAAGGGAAGGAATATAAAGTTGGTTTATTTAATCAAGATTAAAATAGATGTATTATCATCTCTGGTAACCCTTAATGGACCTTTGCTGATCAGGACTGAGTGAAGAGGTTTTGTTTGTAGATAAGAGACATGAAATATCAGAAGAAGAGAACATTTGTTGTATTTCAAGGGGTGATGTTACATTGTTTATAGTTATGATGAAGGGGGAAGTCCTTTCTTTATATGCTTTTCTTTTTCTTTACTATATTTTCTTTATTGCATTCTTTATTGTTTTTAGTTTACATTAGTTTTTCATCTTTTTAATTGTAATAAAATTACTATTAAAATATATAGGCCATTCAGAATGCCCAGAAGCTCCATTTTATGATGTTTAGCAACTAATGTTTACAGTAGTACTGATCAAATCTCAGGTCTAGTTTAGGATGCTTGTGTACTAGTAATCTTTCATCTAAATGCCAAAGTGTAATGCACACTTCTGGTCTGGTGACCAAAGACCAGAAGAAGAGGAAGGACTGAGGATAGAACTGAGAAATCAACACTTAAAAGCTTGCTTAATATCCCATTGCAGGAGAAGGATACAGCAATGCGCTGGCTTTCCATCTTCAACAACGTAGCTGATCAGCTTTATTACCCCTGTGAGCATGTGGCCTGGGCTGCTGATGCTGAAATTATCCATGCCAACTCAAGTAGATGGTGGACACTCAGTACAACTCTCTGGGGCTTTTCTCTGCTGCTGGGGATTGCACGGTAAGGAGTAGAGGAGAGGGAGGGAGGGAGGGAGGGAGAAGACAAGACAATGACTACCTGGAATCTCGATCTTCAAAGTACATGAATCATTGGGACTCAGTTTACCCTTCCTCCAAGCTTGATTTTGATTGAGAAAGTCTTTATGCTTTCCTCTTTCCATATGTCTGGAACAGGGGTGAAATCCAGCAGGTTCTGGAGAACTGGTAGCAGAAATTTTGAGCAGTTTGGAGAACCGGCAAATACCACTACTGGCTGGCCCCAGAGTGGGGTGGGAATGGAGAGTTTGCAATATCCTTTCCCCAGGAGTGGGGAGGGAATGGGGATTTTGCAGTATCCTTCCCCTGGAGTGGGGTGGGAATGGAGATTTTGCAGTATCCTGCCACACCCACCAAGCCATGCCCACAGAACTGGTAGTAAAAAAAATTTGGGTTTCACCATTGGTCTGGAGTATCAAGAAGGCTCTCTAGTATCACAGAATTCAAGCAATATTAAGGGCAGGGAACTCTTTCTACTCTAGAAATATGGGCTGCAGCTAAAATTTTGTCTTTACGTTCTCATTCCAGATCTCTCCGAATTTTATTACTCCTAAGAAGAAAGCAGCATACAGAATCCAGGTATGACTCCCAGCCTTGTAAGCAATTTTTTTCCTCAACGATTAACAGGGATAAATTCTATTTGGCATACAGGCACACATCTGAACACTTTCCAGAAATTTAAGAGTCAATCCAGAAAGTTAAGGAAATTTGTATTAAATTGTCATTGTTCTTTAACTCTTTCCTTTCCTTTCTTTTTCTTTTTCTTTTTCTTTTTCTTTTTCTTTTTCTCTTTTTCTTTTTCTTTTTCTTTTCTTTTCTTTTCTTTTCTTTTCTTTTCTCTTTTCTTTTCTTTTCTTTTCTTTCTTTTCTTTTCTTTTCCTTTCCTTCTTTCCTTTCCTTTCCTTTCCTTTCCTTTCCTTTCCATCCATCCATCCATCCATCCATCTTTCCTTCCTTCGTATCTGCTGTCCAAAACTTAGTTAATAAACCAAGCTGCTGTTCTTTTATGGTAACAAATCAATAGTCCAGTTAGTACACAATTATTATTCTGTCTGGGACAAAAGTAGAACTTTGGCTCCTGGGGGCCTGCTATTTCCACACGACGATTTCTTCTTGAATGCTTCAGTTGTTGCCAAGAGTAAAAACTTATTTCAGGCCAAAGATAAGCCATGCGTTTTCTCCCTCCAGTGCTGATAGCAACAAATAAGCTCAGCAAATGTATCTTTCTCCTCCATGTCTGGTTTGCAGAGACTTCTCTCAGAAAACAAGGGCTGAAATGCACATACAAGCCTTGACCATCATCAGCAACCTGGCTGACCTTGCCAATGCCATCCACTGGTTGCCTCCAGGAATTCTCTGGGCTGGAAAGTTTTCTCCATGGTTTGTGGGCCTCATGGGAAGTATTTCTTCCTTCATTGGGATCTATAAAAACTATGCAGGGGGCAGTTGTGGAACAGTTTGAACAGCAACTTCAGAGTGCTGCATTGAATGGAGAAAAGGGGCTATTACAGGAATTCATAAATGGTTACATAATCTCTGTTAAAATGGGGGGAGTAATTCCTATTATGGTGGAGGCTAGATTGGTATTAGGTTCTTCTATTAAAACATGGTGCTGCTTTTATATAAAACATAGGCACTTTCCTGGAGGATCTATTTGGGAGAGCTTATAGAGCAGGGGTCTCTAACTTTGGCAACTTGTGGACTTCAACTCCCAGAATTCCTCAGCCAGCTTTGGAGTTAAGTTTGCCTATAGGTAGTCCTTGACTTGCAACCACATTGGAGCCTGGAATTTCAGTCACAAGTCATTGCAATCATAAGTCAAAGCACCACATGACCAGACTTGATTTTACGGTTGTTTTTACAATGGTCGTAAAGTGAGTCGCTGTGATTGTTAAATGAATTACATGGTTGTTAAGCAAATCTGTTCTTCTAAATGGGCAAATTTTTGTTTGCTGGAAATTGGCAAGAAAACCCAGAAGCTGGTGAAAACATCACAAATTGTGGTCACATGGTCACAGGACGGTACAGTCCGCCGTAAATGGAAGCCAATTGTCTTGAGGGGGGCAGCAGTCATAACTTCAAGGACCAGTTATATGTAGCTTTTTAACTGTTGTAATTTCAACTGGTTAACTACCTTAAGGGACAAGTGGCTGCCCTGCCTAGTTAAATAATTTGGCTATGGTTTTTTTTTATGTGAAGAATAGTCTTGCTCTATGTACAGCATTTTAATGTGAAACAATTAGGGCTGATAATAAAAGATACAATCTCACACTTTTCCTTAGCTGATTGGCTCTGTTGATATAGCCCTGAACGCTTGTCTTTTCATCAAATGTTTATTTGGAGTATGAAATCCTATTCACTCATAGCTACATTCAGTTTCAGAGAGCCAGTGTGGTGTAGTGTAGCGGTATAGGCATCAGGCTAGAAGCTAAACCATGGCCTATATTAGGCCTAAAACCAGCTAGGTAACCATGGGCCAGTCTCACTCTCAGATCTAGGTTGGAGGCAATGGCAAACTACTGCTGAAAAACTTTGCCAAGAAAACTGCAGGGACTAAAACAGGTAGTTGGCAGGAGTCAACACTGTATAGAAGGCACCAAAAAAAGCAAGCAAATAAACTCACATTCCCCTTCAGAGAAATCTCAGGGCATTAAAGATGGTAGCATTAGTACCTGCCCAATTCACAATACAATGGAGGCATTGCCACTTCTGGACATACCGTATTTTTTGGACTATAAGATGCACCGGTGCATAAGACGCACCAAGATTTAGAAAAGGTAAGTAAGAAAAAAAAAGGTTTTTGCTCTCCCTGGCCCCCAGGAGCACTCTGCAGGTCTCCCAAACCCTCTGTGCGCCCCATTTTTGGCAAAAACGGGCCAAAAATGGCCTGTTCTCCTCCCATTTTTGTGAAAAACAAGGCACGCAGAGGGTTTGGGAGGCCTGCAGAGTGCTCCTGGGGGCTTGGGGAGGTCAAAAACGTCCCCATTTTTGCGAAAAATGGGGCGTGGGGGGTTTGGAGGCCTGCAGATGCTCCTGGAGGCTGGGGAGGTCAAAAACGGCCCCATTTTTGTAAAAAATGGGGCGCACAGAGGGTTTGGAAGGCTTGCAGAGTGCTCCTGGGGGCTGAGGGAGGGCAAAAACGCCCACATTTTTGCAAAAGTCAGGCGAAAAACGGGTCTGTTTTTTTCAAAAATGGAACAAGCGAGGAGGTGGGGCTTTGGGAGGCCAAAAATGGCTGTATTCGGTGTATAAGACGCACCAACATTTCCACCCTCTTTTAGGGGGAAAAAGGTGTGTCTTATACTCCAAAAAATATGGTAATTATGTTTTCACACCATAGAAATCTTCTCATGATTCGCTCCTTTTGCACCCGTTTCTTTGGCTTTCATCCACATCCTTGAATTTCAGGGCCTTGAATTTCTGACCTCCAACAAGGGAGAGCTTAGCTTGCTAACTATTAAGAAGCCTTGAAACCCTCTCTCAAGACAAGAGCCCTACAGAAAGGATTCAACAAAGATCTATGTTATCTATCAGGATTATAATTCATCAATTACCGGTATCTAAAGTGATGTAAGGGAAACCGTCGTTTGTTTTGTTTTGGCAGCAACCAACACAAGTAATCGTATCAAATGATCATATCAAATTTCAAACAAAGATAACACTTCAAAAATAGGACATATTTTATGGTTCACTTTATGATTTATGGTTTCGTGAATTGACTCAAACAGCTTCAGGCTTTAGTTGCATCTGAGGTTCCACAATTTATCCTACAGTAGAGAAACAGTTGCAATCATTGCTTAAAAAATAGCCATAATTTGGTGTGACAGGATCCCATTTGATCATTACAGTAGTGCACAAATTTGACAAAAAAAATATTAAACACTGAAAACCATCAACTTTACAAATAATTAAAAAGGAGAGTTACATAGAATGATTGCTATGTAATAACCACTAAGGGAGGATCTATGTACAAAGTTGCTAGGATTTTGTCTAAAGAGATAGTTGTTGGGATCCTTCAACTTAAAAATCCATTGAAGAAGCTTCAGGCTGACGTATTCACACAGAGAAGTAAAGCGCAAAATGAGCTTTTCAGACTGAAGCCACTAGAGGCAGAGGACTTCTCAATAAAGTTATAGCCACTTCTTACTACAGAGAAACTTTTTTGTTCATCAGTAAGACAGAAAGGAAATAAAAATGCCATCCATGTTCTAAAGTGCTTGGGTTCGTTTCACACCATCCATATATATCAGAAAACACTGATAAGCATGGCACAAATGGTCAGTCAGAATGCAATTCACAAACGTTGCAGGTACAATAAAATTACTTAAAAGGATTTTTTGTGTGTGTGATGCAGCTGGTAGATCTACACAAAGAGCTTAAAAGCTAATTCAAATAAAACATTTTCTGTCATGGCTGCCTACTGTAATCTTAATGACATCATCATCAGATTCTGGACTATGGTTTTCTAAGATGGGAAGGGGGGGTTCATATTAAAGTGAATGGCACCATGGCTTCTGCCATGCGTGGACTGTGAAGAGGCCCTGCTTTCAAAGCCAGTCTCTCTTCTGACCTCCAAACTTCCTAATGGCTCTAAAAGGAAACCAACGTCTCCATACAGTCAAAAGAACATGTGCAGGCCCCATAATAAAACAAGACCCAGAGTACAAGAGTTTCACCTTGAGACACTATTCATGTGCAACAAGGTGGAAGAAATCGGACTTTTCCATAACTCAACTCTCAAACAAGCACTTGTGATGCCAGGATACAAATACAAAGTACAGAGTGTAAATTTGAGGAAAGTTAAAACTTCCAGCAGCTTGCATCTCCAGTATTTTCATGACCTGAGGAACAGACACAGAAGAGAGGCAATGGACGTTCCCACAGGGAATGACATCTTTTGGCGAGAAAGAAGCTCCACTCAAAACATCTTGATTGATTAAGTTAAGCATTTCTTCATTTCCTTCATTTGAACCAGAAACAACTTGGCATCCAATGTAATTCTGACCTGCGTTTCCCTCCCCCCTCGAAGAATATATTCTTAGAATAGATTCGGGTCTGGAAAATTGGGCCTGCTGCTGTGTGGGCTAGTTACTACAGCAAGGGTCTTCAGCAGGAACAAAAATCCGGGACCCAGTTTGCACTGGATTTCCTTAACAATTGGAGGAGGAGGAGGAAGCAAAATGAGTCTTCGGGGAGATGAGGTGCTTTGTGCAACCAGCCAGGGCCTATCTAATTCCCTCAGATTCCCTCCATAGAGTCCCTAATAGCATCAACATCTTTGTTTGGTCCTACACAGAGTCCAAGGGCCACCTTATGGTTGAATGTAAAGATTAAGTTAAGGGCCTTTTCGTACCCTACCGTTCCCAAGAAGGTTATTGTAAAAGCTTGCCTTGGAACTCAAAGAACGCTAGAATAATGTTCTAGCCCAAGGAACAATATAAGCAAAGCCAAGATTGTAGCATGAAGGCGCCCCCCCCCCCCAAACGATATCTTCATTTTGAATAATTTTCCAGGGGAAATCTTGCAGCTCTGCCTTCAGATTATGCAGCTGGGGCAAGGCAGAGCATCCAACACCCATTTGGGCAAAAACAGCGGATTTTCTTGGTGTTGATCAGAAAAAAATAACATCATCTTTGCTAGCGTCATCCAGGGCAGGTGGAAGGACATGAATGCTGTTGGGCTTCATGAGACCAACAGAGGTAGATGGCGCTTCCAGATGGCCGCTCTCAGCAGCACCAGCCAGTTCTGCCGGGGGTGAAAAAGGGAGAGGAAAAGGTCACTACGCAGCATAGTAATAGATCAGCTACCCAGGTAAGCCTGTCAAGTGTATTTTACCTGGAAGGAAGGCAACATTCTGGCTATGCAGAAAGACGGGACTTGCAGAACGTCTGTTTCGAGACTGAGATTCTTCCTTGGTAACCATCTTGGAAATTGGGAACGGCCTCACATCAACTAATGCTTGAAATAGAAATGAAAAGAGGAAAAACTCAGCTGATCTACGAGAGGAAAGGAATCACCAGGCACTAAATCATAGCTCAGTCAACTAAATTAAGGATTCTTTGTCAACAATAACTAATTTTAATAAATATGATGAGAGAGATCCATAAAAGATATTAAGGTACAGTCTGATTACTTTGGTTTGGGTTACTGGATCATGATCTGAACTCAGCCATTATTATTTGTATGTCCTACTTTTGATGATGATGTTACGAGCTCTATAACTGTAACATCCAACAAACTGGTCAGGATAAAACCATGGCTTATTGCAGAGAAAGACATCAGTTTTGCAACTATGGACTATGATGTTTTAAACTTCCAGCAGTCTCAAGGAACTGATGGTGGCATAATCTTTAATTTGTGTGAAAGAAATCTGGCCCGTTCCCAGTCACCTCAGGTTCCCCCACAAAATTGGCACAAAACACAGATTCAAAAGAGGAACAATTTTTTTTTGCCACAAGAAACTATCTACCCATAACACTCTTTTACAGTTCTCAGAATAACAAAGGCAGAACATTTTAATGAACTAGTAGATTTTCCTCATCTGACAATTCCTAGAATTCCCCTCCTTGCATATCAAGTTGGGGGTTGAAGTTCTATCTAGCACAGTGGTTCCCAACCTTTTTTTGGCCATGCCCCGCCTAAGCATCTCTAAAATCTTGATCCCACCTCCCCCACCCCCCAATGACATATAATTCTTTGAGTCTTGTCTATGCATATATCAAAAAGTGTAGCTAAGATCTAGACCCGTGATGGCGAACCTATGGCACGTGTGCCACAGGTGGCACGTGGAGCCATATTGGTGGGCACACGAGCATTGCCCTACCTCAGCTGCAGTGCGCATGCATGCACTGGCCAGCTGATTTTCAGGCCTTCTGGGCCCACCAGAGGTCAGGAAACAGGCTGTTTCCGGTCTCTAGAGGGCCTCCGGTGGGTGGGGTGAGGAAGGCAGTTTTTGCCCTCCCAGGCTCCTAGAAAGCCTCTGGAACCTGGGGAGAGCAAAAAACGGGCCTACTGGGCTCATCATGTCATTGCGTGCCAAAAGAGGGGGGGCACATTTATGGGTATGGGCACGTGCACGTGTGAACCCCACCCCCCACGCTTTTGGCACCCGATAGCAAAAAGGTTAGCCATCACTGGTCTAGACTCTAGACACCACACATTTTCGAATTGCCCCCATTAAAAATCAAATTGCCCCCCTGTGGGGCATGGGCCCCATGTTGGGAACCACTGATCTAGCACAAGAGGAGAGTAAATGGCTGAGGAAGGCTACAGCAGATAGCCTTCCCTGTCCGAGGGTTCTTTGCAACTTACTTGAACTTTCAGTCCTGTGGGAGGTCACCTTGACAGCTTTTCCACCTTTTTCCTTGCTGCCCTTGGTCAAAATGGCCAGCTTGGTGGGGATTTGCTGCTGCACAGCTGCCTGTTTCTGGCTCTGGTTGGTGGTACTCAACAAGTGGATGGGCACCTCATTCTTCAGGACCAGAATGGGGCGGCCTCCCTCCAGTGCAGCACTGTCCTTTCGCACCAATTCTCCTCGCTCCAGGTACTCCGTCCCAGATACGCTGGCTCGCCCACCTGGCTTGGTAGGCAGCACGGCTCCTTCCATACCTTCGCCATTGAAGCTGACGGAGTGGCTCAGGGTCTGCGCCTGGAGAAAGTGGACAATACTGGTCATTCACCTCTAGAGGAATCGAATTTCTAAGGACAGGTCCTTGAAGGTAAAAGTGGAAAGAAGTGGGAGTGGCAGCAGATTGCCAATTCTCAGACTTACTTTTCATAAGTGCAGCTTCCTTATACAGGTAGCCCTCAACTTCCGACCACACCTTGGGACCAGAATTTCTATTGCTAAGCAAGGTGGCTGTTAAGTGAGTCGTGTCTGATTTTATGATTTTTTTTTTTTTTTGCCAGGGTTGTTAAATGAATCACTGCAGTTGTTCATGCAGTCAAATCCATCAAATCCAGCTTCCCCCATTGGCTTTCCGTATCAGAAGCCGTCTGGGAAGGTTTAACAGAACAGAATACCAGACCTTGGAGGCTTCTAGTCCAACTCCTGCTCAAGCAGGAAATTACCATTTCAGACTAATAGCTATCCAATCTCTTCTTAAAAGCCTCCAGTAATGGAGCACCCACAATTTCTGGAGGCAATTTCTGGGACCAGCCAGAGGTGGTATTTGCCGGTTCTCCGAACTACTCAAAATTCCCGCTACCGGTTCTCCAGAACCTGCTGGATTTCACCCCTGGTTTTAAGTCAAGGGCTACCTGTACCTTTCCAATAGGCTTTCTTCCAGTACTCACTTGGCCTGTCTCAGGTGAGAAGGCACCCGAGACTAGATGCTGCTTCTTCTGCTTGCGCAGCTGTTCCAGTCGTTCCTTCTCAACGGCTCGCTGAGATTCCCGCAGCCTCTCCAAGTCATGCTGGTAGGCCTCTCGCTGCTGTTCCAGCTCCTCCCGTTCTTGGCTCAGACGCTCCATCAGCTGCCGTGCCTCCTCCTCTCGCTCCTGTAACTGGTTCTTCTCCATCTCCATCTGGCGCCGCTGGCGGTCACAGTCTCGTTCCCAGCGCTGCTGCTCGATCTTCAACTGGCCCTGCAATTTCTGCACATTGGCCAGTTCTTCCCGCTGCTTCTCAAAATTGCGCTGTCTCTCCTGATCCAGCAGCAAATTCCCTCGGGTGGATTGCAGCCGGAACTGCTTCTGCAACTCAATGTAACTGTCCTGCTGGGCTGTCACCGCCTGGGAAGGGGGGGGGTTGAGGGGGGAGAAGATGCACCGCTGAGCTTTCTTCCCCATCCAAAAACTGGGAGAAGGGAAAACCCCGCAGGTCGGGTGCCAAGAGTTACAGTTCTGTGGAAATGCTCCAAGAAAGATGGTCATAACTGTGTCCCCTTAATGCTCTAGCAGAAAGTTTAGCCCCTCCCCACTTATTTATCATAATTCTCCCTCCGGAACAATCCTCTCAAAATGACTTACAAGTAACAAAAATTTGTAAGTAAAAAATATAATCATTATTCTTTTTAAAAACAGCTAATGGCGACAGCCCTAGAAAGGAGTTAAAGGAATGAAGAACCCAGGAATAAACCAAAATCTTAAGCCTCTCCCTTGCCTTTCAGTTGTGGAAATAATTTTTATAATGGTTATGTCATACAGGACACTAAGTAGATTGGAAGAGTTTCTAATGAAGGCTAGACTGGAAAAGGCACTTTCTTCTACCTCCTCCTCCAAGACTTCTCCATTCCGGTCCCTGCCCATCTTGTTATTTTGCTAGTCCTTCTTGCTCCACCAACACAAATCATAAAAGCCAAAAAAATTGAGGGGTGGTGATGGGAAAAGACAGTGGCACTTTACCTGGAGACTAAGCAGCAAATGCAAGAGTGTCTGTATCCTTTGGACAAGCTGAGGGAAAACAAAAAGAGGAGGGTGTTACCTAACATCCGCCTTTATTTGCACACCCAAATATCAGGAACCAACAACTTATTTCTATACATAGGCCCAATCAGGTTAGGGCAGTTTTGCTGTCACGTGCCAAAAGCAGGGGGAGCGCAGGGGGTCACGCACCCATGTGCCCACACCCATAATTCAGTGCCCGCCACGCATACACACATGACCCCCTCTCCCCAGTAGGCCCATTTTTCATCCTCCCCAGGCTCCAGAGGCTTTCTTGGAGCCTGGGGAGGGCAAAAACAGCCTTCCCCACCCACCCATCCCGGAAGTCCTCCGGAGGCCGGAAACAGCCCATTTCCCGACTTCCGGTGGGCCCGGAAGGCCTGAAAATCAGCTGGCCAGCGCACGCATGGGCGTTGGACCTGAGCTAGGGCAACATTTGTGTGCCCACAGATATGGCCCCACGTGCCACCTGTGGCACGTGTGCCATAGGTTCGCCGTCACGGGGTTAGGGTTTTTCCATCAGAACCCCAGTATCTCTTACCCCCCCCCCTCCGTCCATCTTCTCAAAATCCACTTTGGGCAGAACACAACTGCTCTGCAAATGTAAATGTGCTGTCATATCAATGGCTGAGAAAAAAACAAGCTCCTTTTGTTGGACACATGGTTTTAAAATTTACACCCCGAATCCCACAACTCTTCCAGAACTTGCACAGGAATCATAATTTCTAATGTACTGAAAGAAATAATGAAATAAATTGAAACTGACCCGTGTTTAATTTAATTAACTATATTTAATGCTTTTACATTCTTTTGGGGTGGGCAGCCTAATAATAATGCAACAAAATAACTTCAAATTTAGTTTTTGACCTGGCTTTCCCATTCTCTGGAATAAGGCACCATCATGGAGAAAATAATTGGCCAATACCTCAGATTCTGTCCACAGCAATGGTTGCAAGCTGCTATGATGTTCCAGTCTTGTGTTACTGACCTGAAAGGATAAAAAAAATGAGAAGCTGAGTTGACATGACATACCAAACTAAGCTAAAATAGGGTTGACAAGTCTGTGGTTCAGCCCACTGTAGAAACCCAATCATTACCTTAGCATCAGGGGTGAAATGCTTCCGGTTCGGACCGGATCGCCCGATCCAGTAGTAATGGAGGCGGGTGGTTTGGAGAGCCGCTGGCAAAAATCCCTGCCCCCCCCATTGCCCAGCTGAGCCGCGCAATCATCAGAGGCTTTTTTTTAATTTTTAAAAGCATTTTTTTTACAACCTCTTTGGCCGAAAAAATGCTTTTAAAAGTAAAAAAAAAAAAGCCTCTGATGATTGCGCGGCTCAGCTGGGATCATCAGAGGCTTTTTAAAAAAAAACACCTTCTGCCGATCAGGCAAGTCAGCTGGGATCGTCAGAGGCTTTAAAAGCATTTTTTTAGCCGAAGAGGTTGTAGAAAACCTCTTTCTTCAGCCAAAGATGTTGTAGAAAAAATGGTTTTAAAAGTGAAAAAAAAAAGTTGGTCACGCCCACTCAGTCATATTACCCCCCCCCAAAGCCACGCCCACAAAACCGGTAGTAACAAATTTTACATTTCACCACTGCTTAGCATGCTATGGGAGAAGACAGTACTTAATTATTCAGGCACATTATGTGAACACAGGAACTGGATTTGTATTCAATGAATTGTGCAACCAAACACGTAAAGACCAAAAGGTTTACAAGGGAGGGCTTATAGCATTCCCCACTAGCAGACTCTACAGTTCCAGAGGTTCTTAAATGTCCCAGAGTCTTCCCACCATATTTACTCTTTCACAATTCTGTAAAACAGGAAATATTTTAAGATACTGACTGTCCCAAACCATTGTAGTCGGTTTCACTATGGACTGGAGAAATGAAGGAAGACTTTCCAGACCTTAAATCAGGGTCTGAAAGGTGAAGGGGAGCAACATATTATGTCCTTTTGAGGACCACAGGTAGACATAAGATGGTAACACCAGAAAGGGCATGGCCAAAATGTCATTTGTTCCTTTTTTTATTATGACAAGGCTCTCAAAAACACCTTTTAAATAAATCAAAAGACTCAGTAGCCAAAGAAGAAAAAACAAGAGTCTACAACAAATGTAAGGTCTGTAACAGCCACAATGTAGGACAGAGAAGCAAAAGACTAGCAGAGTCCATCCATGAATATCATAGCAGTCAGAAGACACAATGGAAACTCCTTAATCTCACAACACATGGACAGACTCAGTCATGGTTTCAACTGAAAAAGTGTAAGCATTCTAGATCAAGCTAAATCCAAAAATGCTAGGGAATTTCTGGAAATTTGGCATTTAGACAAATCTGCCATCAACAGGCACATAGAGATAAACCACATTTACATACTATTCAAAAGAGAATATAAATGCTAAAACGTGGAACATATCCTTTCCAACAACTAAATAAGCAGGGATTAACACCATGCAAACAATCAAGCAGAAAACAATACCATGATCAAGGAACTACCAAGGAGGGGGAGGAGAAACATAGCCCCACCAACACTGGTAGAGAAACCTACTGTATATAAACAGGAAGCAGTTTATATAAACAGTATATAAACACTCCCTCGCACTGATGATGTTATCTAGTCAGATAATAAAAGCAAAACAAGCAAATAACTAAACTCAGAGCACCAAGGATGCTTGTTCACAGGATAAAAATCTGCAATGTGCACAGGAGTTATATAAATACGTTCATTTCATTCCAACATATACGCCTTTCAGATTTTCAATTGCTAAAGGGGAGAAAGGAAAAGCCGGATGTTTTTCAAACTGAGCTAAAAACTTCCTGGGAAAAAGAAGCTCATAGCCATTACTATTCCCAACATGGTTAGGGAATAAATACAGAGATTTTGGAGAGCAAAATCCACCTACCAAACACAGCCCTTCCTCTCCAGCAGATGGGACTTCTTGTTGCACTTGCTCTGAATTGGCTGGGGTGCCTCGCTGATCTGGCACCCGCTGCTCTCCACCACAGACTTTCTTCTTGAAGCTACCAGCTGAAAAATAAAAGGCAACCGTTGGCATACAGGGCAGATTACCCAAATTCCATTGGAGAAACTTTCATTACCCCTAACCTATGGATGGGTTTAGACTGCAAAATTCAGAATCCTCAAAACTGTCTTCTTTTTTCCCCTCTTTTTAATCTATTTGCCCTGAGTTACATAAATAAATCCAAGACCCATAGAAATTAAACTCTCTATTTGTTTTTATACTTTATACGTATGGATACGTATGGATGGGGAGGAACAGGCTTCGACTCAACCCTTCCAAGACCGAGTGGCTGTGGCTTCCGGTGTCCCGATATAGCCAGCTGGCGCCATCGCTGGCTATTGGGGGCGAGTCATTGACCCCCACAGAGGGGGCTCGCAACTTGGGCGTCCTCCTGGACACACGGCTGTCTTTAGAAGAGCATATGACGGCCGTGGCCAGGGGGGCTTTTTATCAGGTTCGCCTGATACGCCAGTTGCGCCACTTTCTGATTCGGGATTCCTTATGCACAGTCACTCATGCTCTCGTCACTTCTCGCCTGGACTACGCTAACGCTCTCTACATGGGGCTCCCCTTGAGGAGCACCCAGAGGCTCCAACTGGTCCAGAATGCGGCCGCGCGGGTGATCACGGGAGCAACATGGCGCTCCCATATAACACCTCTCCTGCGCGAGCTGCACTGGCTCCCTGTGGTCTTCCGGGTGCGATTCAAGGTGTTGGTTCTCACCTTTAAAGCGCTCCATGGCTTAGGGCCAGGGTATTTACGAGACTGCCTGCTGCTACCGATAACCTCCCACCGGCCAATACGCTCTCACAGAGAGGGCCTCCTCAGGGTGCCGTCGGTCAAGCAGTGTCGGCTGGCAGCCCCCAGGGGGAGGGCCTTCTCTGTGGGAGCACCTGCCCTCTGGAACGAGCTACCTCCCGGAATACGGCTGATTCTGGATCTCCACACTTTCCGTAAGGCCCTGAAGACGTTTTTATTTCAGCAAGCCGGCCTGGCCTGAATAGATTTTAGGAGTTTTTAATTGTATTGCTAGGGGTTTTTAATTGGGGCGGCCGTTTAATTTAATTTATTTTTAATTATTTTAACTTTTATATTGCATATTATTTTAATTCTCGGCTGTTCACCGTCCCGAGTCCCTTCGGGGAGAAGGGCAGGATATAAATTTAAATAAAATAAATAAATAAATAAATAATATGTTTTATATTTCTGCTTTTATGGTATTGTAAATCGCGCAGTGTTGCTTTGGATAATGAGATGGGCAGCATATAACATTAATTAGGGGGAAAAAAGACCACCACAAGATCATTCAACACTGATGGAGCTCCTGCAGAGACTAAAACAGTACAAACTGGGCTCACTAAGTAGGCAGGATTTAAACCACTTCTATACAACGGCATTCTGTCTGCAGTGGGAGCAGTAATCACAGGTCACTCATTCCTATATCAGATCTCATGCTCCTTCCTCCGTTCCTCCTTTTGACCGACCTGTCATGGCACTGTCATATCCTCCAAAGGTCTCAGCTCGCCTCAGCAACCCGGACCCACTGGAATCTTCAGGATGAGAGCTTGCACTGGCCAGCTGGGTGAAGATCAGGTTCTGAAGGCTCTCCACTAAAAGACAGCAGCCAAGAAGGCAGTTGAGTAGGAAAAGAAGAGAAGAGGTTTATTGCCCTCAAGAATTATGCTCTCCACTGTACATGCTGAATACAGGTCATGTGATCCCCTTTCACACTCTTCTGACAAGCAAATCAATGGGGGAGCCAGATTCACTTAACAACCATGTTAACCAGGTTATCTGAGGGACCATCTCTTGCCGGTCACATCTACCTGACCCATCAGAGCGGGGAGCCAGGAAATGTTGTGGGTCCCATTCCCTAGGGATATATACCTGGTGGGACCCAGAAAAAGGGCCTGTGGTGGCTCCCTCTCTCTGGAACATCATTCCCCCAGAGATTAGAATGGCCCCAACTTTAGCACTCTTCCAGAAGGTGCTGAAGACCTGGTTCTGTCAGCGGGCCTGGGGAACCCAGAGCAGGTTGGAGCCCATTAAATGGCGCGTGTGATTTGCTGTTGCCGGGGTGGGGGTGGGGGTGGGTGGGTGATTTTATTATATTAATTTATTTGATTCTTTTTTTATTAGTTTTATTGTTTTAAATGAGGTTTTATATTCTGTAAAGCCGCCTTGAGTCACCATGTGCGAATAGGTGGCAATATAAATTCAATAAATAAAATAATTAATTAATTCACTTAACAACTGCAGTGATTCACTTAACTATCATGGCAAGAAATATTGTAAAGCGGTCCGAAATTAATTTTACAACTGTCTTGCTTTGCAGCGGAAATTTTGGGCTCCGTTGTGGTCATACGTTAAGGACTACCAGTATTACATGGCCGTATCATATAATTTCTCCTCTGTTCTTTCATCTCCAGTGCACCCACCTTCGATCACTGCCTGCTTGAGGATGGACTCCCCCTGCAGGGTCTCTGGAGAATCCACTCTGTTGATCAACCGGAAGCGGGAGCCAGCAGCCAGGTCCTCAAAGCCATTCACATCTGCCATCTCCTGGTAGATCTGCTGCTTCTCGTTGAGACTTTGCACAATCAGATCATCTTTCATGTTCAAACGCTCTAGTTGGTGGAGGAAGGGAAGGGAGAAGGGAAGAGACAACTGAACGTCATGGTGCTTGGATGGCTGCTGCTGCAACAACAGCAAGTCTGTTATGGTCCGCCAGCAGCCTGCGGAACTGGCAGCGGAGTCGGACAGAGATGAGGCTGAGGAAGGACATGGGCCAGTCTTGGAGGCTGGGGAAGGCTCGGATGAGGGCTCTGCGTCGGAGGCAGAGATGAGGCCAGGGCCATCAGGGAGTGATGTGCGGACTTCGGAGCCTCCAGCGGCTGACAGTAGAGAGGCAGAGGAACAGGAGGAGCCTGTTCCTAGTGCACGTATGAGAAGAGCTGCCAGAAAGCAGGAGCAGCTAAAGCAGAGAGGATGACTCAGGAGTAGGGCCAAGAGATGATGGGCCCCTCCCATAAGGCTTAAAAGACCAGCAATGGCTCTTGGTCTCTTTGCCGGAAAACAACGTTGAGAGAATTGCTTCTTATTTCATTGTATTCATTTCTTGTCGGCGTCTTCTGCTTCTGAACTTTTGCCAAGAAAAGCCTTTGGCAGTTTGCCTAATTATCCCAAGGTCGGTGATAAACTGAGGAATGGTGTTTTGAAGAATTTGCTTTAATTTAGTTTGGACTATGCTGAGAATGAGTTAATTCTCAGCTGTTCTAATAAAGTCTGCTTGTTTTCGAACTGTTTGTATGTAATACTAACTACTTGGGCCTGGGTCACAACACAGCCCAGCAACCCATTCTTCAGGCATTGTTTGCGAGATGACAAAGAGAAAGACAGTTCTCGACTTACAACCACAATTGACAGTTGTCGTGCCCGATTTTATGACTTTTTTTGCCATTGTTAAGTGAATCACTGTATTTATTATATTATAAGCTGCCCAGAGTCACCTCAGACATTGAGATGGCTGGTATATAAATTTAATAAATAAATAAAATAAATCAAAGTTAACCGAATACAGCTTCCCCCATTACTTCTCGGGCGCCAACTGGGAAGGTTGGAAATGGCGACCATGTGAACCTGGACACCGCAACCGTTGTAAATACACGCTGGTTGCCAAGAGCCCGAATTTTGATCACATAACCATGGGGGTACTGTCATGATCATAAGTGTGAGGACCAGTCATGTCACTTTCTTCAGTCCCGTCGGAACTTCGGCCACTAAATGAATAGTTGTAAGTCGAGGACTATCTGTAGTGCTTTTACGGATCAATTCACAACCAAAGGGTCTGATAGCAACTTGCCTTGTCTTCCTTCCTTGCAAAATGTGAGATTGCACATTTTGCAAGGAAGGAAAGAACAAGTCCCCAAATCTAGGCAAGCCCAACCCTCTTATACTGTAGAGTTTTGCAAGACAAGAGCCTTTACCTTGAAATTCTTTCAGTTTTGCAGTTCTCACTTCAGTCTGCTTTTTTTCCTCTTCTGGATCAGCAAGGACACTATCCTCTTCATCAGGACAACTGCAAAGAAATATAAACCACTGAAGTCCTGGTCAGAAAGGAGTCCTAATGTCATAGTTACAGAGAGCCTGGAAAGAAGGGTCTCATCATAAACCCAATTTTGCAGCTACTTGTCTCACTCAAGTTGGGAAAATAACATTTGGGTGAGCAAAAAACCCACCATGACTAATCCAAACAAGACTGTATAGAAGCAATTCTCACTTATGACGTTCAATTGGCAACCGTTTGAAGTTATGATGGTGCTGAAAAAGGAATCCTCAAAGTTCTGGCTATTACATTACCCTGCGGTCACATGATTGCAACTCAGGCATTTGGCAATCAGCTCACACTTACGATGGCTGCAGCATCCTAGGGTGATGTGATCCCATTGGCAACCTTCCCAGCCAGCTTCCCCAAGAAAAGTCAATGGGGAAGCTAGCAAGGAAGATCGCAAGTCACTCCAGTAAATCCCTTGCACCTTTTCCTTGCCTAGCAGCAGCCCTCTCTGACCTCGCATTATGTCTTGTGAGCCATTTGCACAACCTCCCCATCTGGCAATAGCCACTCCTGGCCCCACTGTGTTCATGCCATGCACTTTTCGAGCCGTGGTGGCAGGGTGGTTAGAATGCAGTACTGCAGGCTTCTTCTTGCTGACTGCTGGCAGCCAGCAGTTCGATCATCACCAGCTCATGGTCGACTCAGCCTTCCATCCTTCTGTGGTGGGTAAAATGAGGACCCAGACTGTTGGGGGCAATAGGCTGACTCTGTAAAACCGCTTAGAGAGGGCTGTAAAGCGGTATATACCAGTAAGTCTAAGTGCTACTGGTATTGTTTTCATGCCTGTTCCAGAGCTTGTTTGCAAGCCACCTGGGTCTTAATTAACAACCAGAGATCCTTGCTTAATGATGGCAATGGCTATCATCGGGATTGTTGTTGTGGAGCAGTGCAATCATCAGACGTTGTGCCTTACGACCCCATTGGTTATAAACAAAACTTCTGGTCCCAATTGCCGTCATTAACCAAGGACTACTTGTTTTTCCTTATGATGACAAAATAACAGGTATGGAAAGAGCCACTTAGTCTGATACCAACTCAATACAGGAGAGAAACAAAACAACATATTTTATATGCTCACTTTTCCACTGCCCTGCGAATTTGTGTCATCCAGATATTCCTTTCCTCCTTGGAGTTGGTGTGAATCTCATACATCTCTGGTCCTTTCTTGGAAGCAATGATTAAGAACATGGCTCGTTCCTCGTTGGCTACTTCTCGGACTATCAGTTTTTGCAAGGAAATCACTGGTGGCTTTGAGTCCTGTGATGCAAGATACATCAGCATCATCATCATCATGCCATCTACGGCAATCCTAAAAAGCAACAGCTATATGGAGATTCAGGTCATGGTTGTCCCAAAGATGCTTTTTTCAAGAGGCATCTGGACTTTCTGGTTTTTCTTTGAAGACGTTTCACTTCTTATCCAAGAAGCTTCTTCAGCTCTGACTGGATGGTGGGGAATGGAAGGATTCCTATTCGGTCAGAGCTGAAGAAGCTTCTTGGATGAGAAGCGAAACATCTTTGAAGAAAAATCAGGAAGTCCAGATGCCTCTTGAAAAAAGCACCTTTGGGACAACCATGACCTGGATGACTGAGAATCTCCATAGACAACATCTATAGTATTTCTTCTTTATACAGCACTTTATACTTGCAAATCAGATTAACCTGGAAAGAGTGGAAGGAAGTAGGAAAAGTATCCCAAAGATCCCTGCTTGAATCTGATTATCTCTGCCTAGCTGGGAAAGATCCTTTCTTGTCTGAAGCCGCAGAGAATTGCTGCTGGCTGGGTTATACTAGGCAAGGGAGGCTGAGTCAGGTCAAATAGCTGGTTGTGTTAACTGTTGAAATCCTGAAGGACTATTGCATAGAAGACGGAGTTGGGTGCCTCTTCAATTGAATGGCTTGCCTTCAGAACTTGTGGGTGCTCCATCACTGAAGCTTTTTAAGATTGGTCAACCATTTGTCTGAAATTGTAAAAGGTCTCTTGCTTGAGCAAGGAATTGGACTAGAAGACTTCTAAGATCCCTCCCAACTCTGTTATTTTGTTATTCTTGATAACTCCTCCACATAGGAAGTCTTTGTTTAGCATAATCAGTTTGAAAGATGCGCACGCACGCGCGCACACACACGGACATACACTGAAGAATCCAACTTGCTAATTTGGTTCTTTTAAGGAAATGCAAAACATATAAATGCATTAAAATCAGTATTTTGATTTAACAGATGAAAGGGAAGTTATTGCACATTTGTCAATTAATTATAATTGTAATTAATAACTAGAAGATAAATGAAAACATACGAAATAAATAGATATAGTAGTAAACAAATGAAGCTATACTAAATAAATAGGACTGCAATACAATGGAAACCAGAGGCAATATAAATTTTCCAGTAAGAACTCAGCATTGGTAAGCAACTTCAACTGTCCTATTTAAAAACATATTAAAATATTCATTTCGATTGTATAATAATAAAGAGCATGCCATTTTGCTGACCAGCTCTCAAACAGTTGAGGTTTTTTGTAGTAATGGACGTACCTAAAATAACCTACAGGAATTTACAAAAGCTGAAGCCAGTAGTTAGGGGACTGAGGCTAAGACATGCTGGGTTCCTAGAATTTTTTTGGCAATCAAACCAGAGTTTTTCACTGTAGTTCAGATTTATTTGTTATTACAGAAACCACAGAGAGTTCCAGGTTTTCCACACTACCCTGCCTATCCTTAGCAGAGAGAAATACGTACCAAAGATGCAAACATGTATTTCTGGTCTTTCTCTTGCAGTAGCAAAAGCACATCTGTCAGCAGAACAGCCAAAATATCTGCCAAAATTATTGGAAAAGGGGAAGTTGAAAACAAAATAATCCTTTCAAGCAGAACAAGTAATTTTTTAAATATTCTAGCAGCTAGCTAAGCACTAATTCAAGGTCATTTGCTGTTGAATTTTTCCTTTGGGGGGATTAGTCAGAAGTGTGTCATTTAAGTCCAGTGCTAGTGCATATAAGTAGCTTTCTAAGGTACAGTTTTATATTCTGATCATTTCACTGACTGAATACGGATGTTCCAATGTTTGGCCATCCCAAAATACCAACCCAAATTTCCATTTTCAGGGAACTCCCATCATCTACAGCCTTAGCACTAGTTTTCCTTTATAAGAATATCTGTCCATCTGACTTTGCATCAGCTTTTCTGAGCAAATATTTATTTCACTATTTGCCACTCAAACCTTCCATTAAAAACTACACCTAAGACAATTTGAATACATCCCTAAATATATATAAAAAGGGGGGGAGAGTTAACAAGGAAACTGATTCTCTTATATCAACAGAAAACCCATTTTCAGAGTTGTCTATTATTATGATGCCAAAACAACATTACTGAGATACAGGATTAACCAGTCAGGCGAAGATGGACTCAAAGATTTGCAGAAAAAAAGGAAAAAGAGAAAAGAAAGAACGAGAAAAACATTTCTGGAGGAGGGAAGGAGAAGGAGCTCAATGAGAACTTTAAAAAGCTATTGAGCTTCACAGGATGACTCACAGGAGCAGAAGGCAGTTGAGTAGAACATGAGCAAGAAGTTCCTTGCTTAAGATCAGCAGGCCAAACTTAATATTCCGAAGAAAAGAAAGTGTACCTATATCATGGGGTTAACATGACACAGCTTCAAAGTGTGAAACGGTTGGAAGTCAATTATTGACACGAATGTTTTGTCTTCCCCTTGGATGTCTGAGAGAGACACTGACGCAATAAATAACTCATCATTTCGGTCATTGTCTCCTTCTCAACTGGGCAGGATCTTGGGGGGCGGGGGGGGGGGCAGAAGCCGATTACTAAATGCTATTTTGCCAATTTTTAATTGGGCAAGCCAAGCATGAGAGGCAAGTCTCTTTCGTCCAATATACACAGTGGTGAAATCCAATTTTTTTTTTACTACTGGTTCTGTGGGCGTGGCTTGGTGGGTGTGGCAGGGGAAGGATACTGCAAAATCCCCATTCCCTCCCCACTCCTGGAGGAAGGATATTGCAAAATCTCCATTCCTACCCCACTCTGGAGCCAGCCAGAGGTGGTATTTGTCAGTTCTCCGAATTGCTCAAACTTTCTGCTACCGGTTCTCTACAACCTGTCAGAACCTGCTGGATTTCACCCCTGAATATACAGAATAGACACTCCTGTGTGTCTGATTACTGAGCAATGCAGTAAACACCTGAAAAGGAGAACAGATAACCCACAGAATTCACCTTTTAGACGCCCAGAAGCAGCTTTCCAATACAGCATCCCAGCCAGCAGGAGGCGCCGCTGAAGCATATCCTCCTTCCGGAAAATAAGGCCATTCTTAAACTTTCCAGAAGACTTGAGTTCCATCTTGGTTACAATTTCCCGGAGGCGCTGCTCTTTCTCAGACTCATTCACCTTGGTGTCAACAGCTGTGATGGTCTCCTTGATAAGCGACAATGCCTTGGTCAGATCTTCGTGCTCCTTTGTGGTGACTGGAAAGATGAAGGGAAAGAGCATGTTTAGCAAAGCTACAGTGCATATTAACTCTCTGCCATCTGGATTAGTCCATATAATAAAAAAATGGCACCAGCGTTTGGTAGCATTCTAAAAATTGCCAAATTGATTGCAGGAGAAAACATTTAGAGACCAGAGATAAAATACCATCAAACTAAGTCATTCTAAATCTCTTAATTATGACCTTTCACTGATCCTTTTAAGTGACTAACAGCACAGGTTTTAGATTATAGGTACGTTTTGAACATATTTTGCATATATACATGCATACAAACAGTATTAATAAACAATATACAAGTAGTTCTCACGACTGTAACTGAGCCTGGAATTAGTGTCAAAAGTCATGGCAGCTGTTAATTGGGTGACCATCAGATTTTATTACCTTTTTCTGGTGGTCACTAAGTGAATATCACAGTTCTTAAACTAATCCATTGTACCCAGTGGGAATTTTTGGCTGGAAACCAGAAATAAACACCGGTTTCCCCGGGGGCGGGGGAGTCATAAATCATAGTCACATGACCAGAGGATGTTATAAATGGTCATAAATGCAGGCTGGTTGCCAACCATCGAAAATGCGATCCTGTGATATGGGGGGAGGGGGGGGAGGGGGTAGCCATCAGTACTTTGAAACCAGGTTGTAAGTAGCTCTGGAGAGGTCCAGCAAATATTGCCAGAACCATGTAGTTTTCTTAGCAGCAATACTAAAGCTCTTTCTCATCATTTTTTTCTGATTCAATTAGAGTTGTTGAGAATCAGCCTATATACATGTTAATCAATTTATTTATTATTAGGTTCGGCCCTGCTTAAGGGTTTGGTTTTTTTTATACATTAGCTACCCAGATGATGTTGTTTGATACCACCAGAAGAGAAAGAAATGTTTCACCTAATAAATGGATATGCAACCTGAAAAATGGGAAGGATCTGTCTGAAAGCATTTGGGAAGGAATATTATCCAGGCTCGAGGAATTTAAAAAAAAAATACTGAGAAGTCAAATTCTGCATCTATACAACCGTTTCGCCCTGTTCCCTATGTTGCTTGGCGTGAATTGTGCTCCCTAGTGAGCCCTTCTGATAAAGCAGGGGTGTCAAACTCAAGGCCCGGGGACTGGATCTGGCCCGTGGGGTATTTAGATCTGGTCCGCGGGGTCACCCTGGAAACAGTGAAGGACCGGCCCACGGTGCTTCTGCCAGCGAAAACAGGCTCTCAAATCGTCTGCCAGTGAAAACGTAGCTCGGGGGGGCTGCCCTCCCGAGCTCTGTTTTCACTGGCAGACTGTTGCAGGAGGCCGTGGCAGCCGAAAACGGAACTCGGGAGCCCATTTTCGCTGGCAGAGCGCTCAGGCCGCCACAGGCACCCTGACAGGAGTGACGTCGAGCTGGCCACGCCCACCCACCCCCCACAGCACCGAGGTCAAACACAACCCTGATACAGCCCTCAATGAAATCGAGTTTGACACCCCTGTGATAAAGGAGTCAAAAGTGGCTAAATAAGCGCCTCTAATAAGTCAGGTTTTTCACCTTCTGTGTTCTGAATGATGCGCTCCACCAGGACAGGATACTTCATGATGCGCTGAGTGACTAAAAGATTACACTCTTGGACACCAAGTCGTCTCACAATGGAAGAATTGCTGATTTTCTGAAATATATCACATGCACCAAACATACTTACTAACAGTTGAATTTGATACCACACCTTTCATTTCTTTCGTCAAAATAGATAGAAGAAATGAAGGAAAATGACCTGTCCTCTCCTTATTCTTTTTCTGGTATGTGAAAACATGCATTCAAGTTTTAATTTGTCTTAAATTTGCCCCCTTTCTGTAACCATTTTTTTTTTCAGTTACCACAACCTGGAAAAATCATTCTATCTCATCAGTAAATGAGTTTTCTGTGCAAATAATTACAAAGATACATTATCATTCTTTCTCTTTGTTCCACATTCTGTCTTTTTGGTTTCCAGAGAAAGTCTTGCTGCATCACATTTCAAAAATCTTTCTAATCTAGCACCCTGACTAGTGTATATGGCAATAAGCTTAATAAATCACTGGGGAAATAAGCACAGGAGTCAACTCTTTCCTGAACTACATTTTTCTTGAAACATGTATTGTTAAGAGTATAATATCTTTAGTCAAGGTTGATCCCTAATGTTACACCCGCATACCGTATTTTTCGGAGTATAATTTGGAGGGGGATGGGGGGGAATAAGAAAAAAAAAAATCTGCCTCTGCCTACCAGCATCCATCGGTATTCATTCTGGTTAGTTGTTCCTTGCAGCAAACAGCAAACAGCCTGGTCAGCTTCAGCACATTAACCTGATTTAGCATGAGTAGCTGATTGGCTGGTGGATTACCTCCAGAATACCCCCAATCAGCTGTTCCCAGAGGTGAACTTTAGCAACAGGTTCGCTAGTTTTGAGCACTCACGTGCCTCATTGGGGCAGATACGCAGCTTCAAAAATGCAGCTGATCGTTGCAGGGCGCTCCAGTGAGTACAGCAGGGGAAGCGCGGAACTGGTCCGACAAGGCCATTTTGACCTCTGTGCCTTGCTTTTTCACCCTCCAAAAACTCCGTTTGAGAGGCTGCCTTTGCAAAGAGAAGCTCCTTTGCAAACGGAGCTTTTGGAGGCTGCTTGAGAGGCTCTCTGTTTGAGAGGCTGTAAACGCAGCCTCCAAAAGTTCCAAAAGCTCCATTTGCAAAGGAGTTTCTCTTTGCAAAGGCAGCCTCTCAAACGGACCTTTAGGAGGGACGCCAATGGGCGGGGCTACACTTGGTGTATTAGATGCACCCAAATCTTAGGGGGGGGAAGTGTGTCTTATACTCCGAAAAATACAGTACTTTTCTTGGTTATAATACAGGTAATCCTTAATATACGATCACAGTTGGGACCAGAGTTTCCATTGCTAAGCAATGGGATTTTTAAGTGAGTTGCCCCAATTTTACAACCTTTTTTTGGCCACAGCTGTTAAGCAAATCACCGCGGAGGTTAAGTAAATCACATAGTCATTAAGCGAATCTGATTTCCCCATTGATTTTGCTTGTTGAAAGCAGGCTGGGAAGGTTCCAAATCGTGATTCATGTGATCCCAGCACCTGAAACCATTGTAACTACATGCCAGTTGCCAAGCAGCGGGATTTTGATCATGTGACCGTGGGGATGCTGCAACGGTCATAAATGCAGGGACCGTTCGTAGGTCACTTTTTTCAGCACCGCTGTAACTTTGAATGGTTGCTAAACGAATGTCAAGGACAACCTATAAAGAAGGGGTTTTATCATGATCTTATTCTAGATTGGCTTTTGAAAAAAAGTTTCCATTTGGACATTTTGCCTCAAAAAACCTCACTGGCATAGGGTATCGGGTCTTACATAGGAAGGAACAATGAACTGTCTGAAGGTCTCTTTTGCTCCACCTCTGTGCATTGTGCGTAACATTTTTTGAAAACTACCCAAATGACTAAGAACAGAGCTAAGTGTGCTACTGCTATGTCAGATTTCAGCAGAACCAAAAGAATGACAGAATGAAATCAGTTCCCATCTGTGATCATCTCTCATCTTTTACCTTAATCAAGTTTTGGAACTTCTTGCTTTGCTGCATCAGCTCTTTATAGTAGCTCACAGCATCACTGTGGCTGCTACAGTAAATGCCATATTTCTCCTTCAACATATTGCCTGTTTTTCCTGAAAACTAAATAAGGAAAACACAGTCAGGAACAACTGATGTTTGGGAGAAAAGCAAGCTGCACCCAGCACACTCTGGGGTATCTGGAGAACAGACGTCACAGTTCAGCATTGTTATGTATATAATAATATATAATATAATATGCTTTGGCAGGAATATCATGGATCTCAACTAAAAAGGAAAAAAGAAGTGAGAATAGGATATTGAGAATTGAGTAAGTTCTAAAGTAGTGCACGACACAGTCCTGAGAGAGAAAATGCAGGCGAACAGAGTAATAAAACAGCCATTCCTCACTATGGAGAGATTATATTTTAAGAAACACAGAGTAACTCAGTATTATCTCCGCTGACAAGAATCAAAGATAGAAAATAGCCTTTTTCCTAGACTTGCCACTTGGAATACATTTACCTGCAGTTCACATGCAAAGCTAGTGGCTCTAATATGCACCTAGGAGATGTAGCTTTTTTTCCTCAGAAATATCATGAGAGCCCACTGGCCTATTTTCCAGGCCTGCTGAAAAAGGCAAAATTCCCCCTCTGAACTAAATAAGTGTTTTATATCATAGGATGCCCCCATGCCTATCCAATCCCAATTCCATAAGCAAAATCTACACCTAAGTGCTCACCTGTTGCACCAGGATGTCCCCAATGTTCTGGATGATATAGTTGCATTCGCTACCTTCTTCCAAAGACTCCTTCCGACGTTCCTTCAGCTGGAAGAGGAAGGCTCTGTGGAGCTCCAGTAAATCGTCCACACACGGGAAAAGGCGGTGGATATCAGAATTGCTGAACTGCAGCTCCTCTCGCATGGCTTGGGAGTAGACCTTCAACATGATCTTCAGAGTCCGGACATGGTGCATCTCTGTCCTCATCAACTCTAAAGGGAGAAGACATGGACATCAAGCCTCTCTGACTGGCCAGAGACAGACCCACCTAGAAAGCCAACCACTCAACACAGACTTCTTTACCATCTTGCCGACTTTCAAAAAAAAAAGGAGAGCACACCAGACCACAATCAATAGTCTATGTCCAATTTCAAGACAACACTACCTTCAGGTCAAAATTTTGCATACGTGTGAATGAAAGCAGCAGCAGCAGAGCAAATACTGTCCATTAAGTCTGGTGGGGAAGAGGCAGAAAAGCTTACCGTATATGACATCCTGCCTTTTAATAACATCCCGCTCCTGCAGCTTCACATATGGCTGCTCTACTGCCAGACTCCAAGACTGAGCAGCAAACTCCCGAGCGTCTGTCTCCAGTTCATTCCTCAAGGAGGCAAACTGAACATCTGGAAGGGGAAGAGTCACAGCTCAGATGAGAACGTAGGTCTATGTATTCAGAGAAGCATTCAAAATGCCATTATCGGGGAAAAAACAAAAAGAGATCAGTGCTATTATCACCAGAGTGGAAATCTAAGGGACTGCATAATGATTCTTAATTTGTGAAAGGTCAAATGCTCAAAAAAGGTTTATAAAAGGTATACTGCGCAATGCAACGCCCAGGATGTATTATGGATAAATGATCATTAGATGTAGATAGTGAAAGGTGAAGAGTCTTTGGAGAAAGGCGGCATGCAAGTTGAACAAATAAATAAGAGAAGATGCAGCAAAAGGACCAAAAGGAACCTTTTGAGGTCAGAGAAAACATCCAGCTTGTTGCTATAAAAATGTACAACTGTAGTAGTACCCTAACTACTATAAAATATTCACAGTGCAAAATGCACATTTGAATTTATCATCACACATTGGAGGGAGGGCAGCCACAAGTGCACACAGGAGCTGGATAAAAGGGAAGAGGAAAAAGAACTCAAACTCAAAGGCTAGGGATTTGGGATGGTTAACTTTGGCGCATCTGATTTCAAAAGTGGTCCACCTGCAAGATTCCAGCAGGCAAAAAACCAAGGTTGCTCTGCTGTCTTCAAGTTGCTTTGGGGGTGTTTTGCTGAGGCATCTGTGTGGCCACCGCATGAAACAAAAATGCTGAGTTAGACAGACATCTAACTACTGGTATGGCTCATCAGCCACGCTCTTCACATTAAGAACTCTTGGACAAGGAAGAAAATGAAGGAATGGCATAGGCAGTGGACCCAAGGGCAAGATAGGGCAAACTGGATTGAAATTCTAGCTTGAGTTGTCTTGCAAGATCTCCTTGCAGTTTCAATTCCCTGCTACAGGTGTGGAAAATGAAGGGTTCTAAAGTAGAAACAGGCCATTTCAAATATTCCAGAAGTATTCTGAATAAGAGCTGTGGTGGCGCAGTGGTTAGAAGGCAGTATTGCAGGCTAACTCGCTGCTCACTCCAGGAGTTCGAGTCTCACCGGTTAAGGCTGACTCACCCTTCCATCCTTCTGAGGTTGGTAAAATGAGGAGCCAGATTGTTGGGGGCAATAGGCTGACTCTGCAAACCACTTAGAGAGGGCTGTAAAGCACTATGAAGCGGTATGTAAGTATAAGTGGTATTGCTATTCTAACTTTGAAAAGGGCTTATTCTGAGATCAGGTGACTTCTGGAAGAACCAGAGCAGCCCAATCTCTTGCACAAACCTTTGTTCTTTGTTAACTCCAGCAGTAAACTGCTCTGAGAGATGAGTCTGGCTCATCTCTCAGATGTGTCGGGCTCTTGATGACTTTATAGCCAAGTGCTCTCCATGCTACCCTGTCAAGCACAGCTTCTTCCATTTGTTGGATGTTCAACTTTTCATCAGATTTGATGTTCTCAAGCCAGCATGTTCTTTGCTTGCCCCTTCTTCTTGTTCTACTAACCATTCCTAGATCCTTGCATTCTCCAAAAAACCCACAGAATAACGGAGTTGGAAGGGACCTTGGAGGTCATTTAGTCCAACCCCCTACAGGAGCAGGAGAATCTATACCATTTCAGATAGGTGGCTGTCCACTCTCTTCTTGAAAGCCTGAAGTGATGGAGCACCCACAACTTCTGGAGGCAAGCTGTTCCACTGTTAATTGTTCTAACTGTCATGAAATTGTTCTAACTGTCATAAAGCTGCAGTGGCCTTGAGGTGGAACTCTTGCCTCACAATCAGGAGGTTGTGAGTTCAATCCTAGGTAGAGGCAGATGTAGGGTCTCCTGCTTGGGCGGGGGGTTGGACTAGATGACTTGCAAGGTCCCTTCCAACTCTGTTAATCTGTTAAATTTCTCTTAGTTCTAGGTTGCTTCTCTCCTTGATTAGTTTCCATCCATTGGTTCTTGACTTGCCCTTTGGTAAATAGTTTGCCTCCCTCTCCCCCGCCCCCAAATCTTTGTGGCAGCCCCTCAAATACTGGAACACTGCTATCATGTCACCATAGTCCTTCTTTTCATTAAAGAAATACACCCAATTCCAGCAAATGTTCTTTATATTTTTTAGCCTTCAGTTCCCTAATCATCTTTGTTGTTCTTTTCTGCACTCTTTTCAGAGTCTCAACATGTTTTTTTTTTTAATATTGTGGTGCCCAAAACTGGATGCGGTATTTCAAGTATGGCCATACGAAGGCTTTGTTATTAAGGGCAAGACTGCCAGATCTTCAGTAGCTTTACAGAAGATGTAAATACCATCTTCTTTATTGATGTGAATGACTTTACAGGCATGACATGGCCAAAGTAAATCAGACGTAGTCTTGTGATTTTAGCTTCTAGTGACGTGTCTGATTTTATACAATTTAACATGAGAAGCTCCTTACCTTCCACAAAAACCGATTCCGTGGTTGATGGTGCCAGTGAGACAACATCTTCAGAGGCTGGTTTAAGTTTCATGAAGCCACAATCCCCTTCATCCATCTCTCCCCCAGTGAGTCTGAATAGTCAAAGGAAAACATTGAACCAGATCAACTCTTGCTCCAGGACTGAGTCACTGCACAAGCTATTTTCTTATTAGGCTGTTTCTTATTCTAATGAATGCAGCCTGGGCCAAATACCTTCCAGTGAACAACTTAAGAAGAGCAGCAGTCCTGAAGTACATTTGTGCTTAGTTTGGAAAGGCATCTTGAGATTGTTGAGGAAGAATAGGGATACTGCCAATGCAGCGGCATGAGAAAATAGTGACAGCACTCACAGGAATGAACTCAAAAAGTCAAAAATCCATGGAAGGGCTATAGTTAGGAAGCTGCCAATAAATGTCTGATAATTACAGAAGAAGTAGAAAAGGGGCAGCAAAGCCATGGATCATCTTCTAGTGCTGACGGCTAAAATAATTTCCTTCCTCATGCAGAAAACTTTATGCAATTGAAGCTCTCCACATTTATGGTGTTAAAAACCCACAGCATACAAGGATTTATAAAACCATCATGCAGAATGTCTATGGGAAAATGAATCCATTCAAAACTCATCAAACAAAGATGAGATGTGTATATACTAAGAACTAATTTTAGGGATACTGTTTGCCGATAAATTTAGAATTCCCTCTTGATTCCCAGCTCAACAGGTTGCTGTTCTGACCTAGTGGCTATGCCTATAAAGCTGATTATTTAATAATCCAAATTCTTCCACTGAATCCCCCAAAGACTGGGAACCATTGTTATTTCCTGACTTGGTTAGAACAAAACTCTGTATCCTCAATCTGAAATAGCATATTCCCTTCAGCAAACTGAACAGACAAAATCCATATCTACACTTGGCAGAAATGTAACAAAACAAAAAACCCTGTATATCTGCCCTTGTGGATACCCACTCATGCTTATGGATTTGCGTTATGTGCTGCAAAATGACAATATGAAATTGCACTACAGTTAAGCTAATACTCCCCCCACCCCATAAACCCAGAGTTTCCATTAAAATCATGGCAAACACATCAAGCCTGAGTTTGTGTTTTGATAGAAAAGAGTCCAGCAGTGAGACCCGAGCTCTTTTTTTTTTCCAGAAGAAAAATAGAAAAATAAGAAGTGGAGCACTGTGAAAGACGTTAAAGATGAGCAGTTATTTCTTCCCAGGCAGGATAAGACCAGATTCCAGATAAAAATTCCAAAAGCAGCCATTTGTATCCAGCAAAGTGCTACTCACCCGAGCTTACCAACAGCCCCAGCAGAGGTGGTGCTTAGCTGAGACGGCAAACTTCCCCTCTGCGCAATTGTCATGCCGAGGTTCTGGGGCAAGCCAGGGGTTCTGCCATCCGGGCCCAAGAGGGCCCTGCAGGAGTGCTCTTTGAGCGAGGTAGCTATAGAAGGAAAGACAGAGTTGGTACTCAGGAATCGGGGAGTAAACTGTAGGTTGCTTTCTTGCAACCCTCGGCTCTCTGAGCGAGTTTGGAGAATCGACAAGATCTTGGAGGTCAGACGCTCATTTTCCAGAAAGAGCGTCTCATTCCACTTGTTGGAAAATGAGCCACAGAACAGCAGCTCTGAGTGAGCTGGGATGACTGACTTGCCGCTGCCACTGCCCTTGGAGTTAGCATTTCCCATGTTTGCAAAGTGGCTGCAAAATTGCCTGTGCACGCTCCACTTATATATCACTGTGTGATCCTTCTAGAAATGTCTAGAGATGTAAAAGCTGTCACTCCACAACACTGTGTTGGTTAATCAGCAGCAGGTCAGAAAGGGAGAAAATCAGTTCCTACTGTGTCCTCAATCGAATGTGGAAATTGCAAAGTATCTTTTTTAGCAAACGGACAGAGAAAGTGCACCAATCAAAAATTTACAGAAACAGAACTGTTCTCACTTTGCAACGGAAGAGAGAAAATGACTCGCACCGAATTAAGATTTATCTGAGACAGAAAAAGTGGAAGAAAGACGCGCTCAGTTGTTGCTTCTTCCCCTACATGCTTGTTGGTTCAAGTGCCACAATTTATAACACTATGCACATGGGGTCCTAAACTAACAAATTAATCCGATCTAATGATCAAGGCATACATTCTCCAAGCAGATTCATTTTAGAGAATGTTTTTTTAAAAAAAAGCAATGTAAAGATTATTTATTAATTTGTATGAGTCAGTTGTAAGAGTCAATTCTTAATATTGGTCATTAATATTCTCACTACTCTACATTCAGAAAGAGTGCTGTCACTCTCTTTTTATCTATATATATAAGATACCAGACACCAACCTATCTTTAATCTATATATAAGACGCACAAGACACCAAACCTTGTAGAACCAAATTAGATATTTGGCCTTCCACAGAAACAGGTGCTTCATGCCAAGATGTTTTTGCTGTTCTGGTTGCAAAACCAAGACAGAAGCAGAGAGGCTAAAAGATGGGGAGAAGTCTATTGGCTTCCAGGAATTATTTGATGGCAGGGAAATATCCTCATTTTACTATCCTCCCATCTGCCCTCACTGATGCCAATGTGCCTTGAAGACCTACAAGGCACCAAAATGTCAACAGAAATATTCCATGACAAGTTTTGGCATGCCTTTGGCATGTCAAGTTGATGCTTTTCCCCTGCCTGCTCTGCAAAACCAGTTGTTCATTTATACCCTATTTTTTTATCCCAAAAAATAGATAAGGGAACGAAAACAAAACACAACTAGCAATCTCAAAGGTGTTTTCTTTCCAAAGGCAACCGGACTTTCTTGTTTTGCTAGAAGAAGTTTCGCTTCTCATCCAAGAAGCTTCTTCAGTTGTGACTGAATGATGGAGAATGGAAGGATTTATATTCCTTGCGGTCATGAAGTCAAGTCATGCAGTGAAGAATATAAACCCTTCCATTCTCCACCATCCAGGTGTAACTGAAGAAGCTTCTTGGATGAGAAGTGAAACATCTTCTAGCAAAACAAGAAAGTCCAGTTGCCTTTTTGAAAGAAAGCATCTTTGGAATAACCATGACCTGGACAACTGAGAATCTCCATAGACAACACAGGTAGCACTCACAAAGTTCACTAAAGTTATGACACCTAACATGTATCCATCAGTATAATAAAAACAGGACAGGGGGATTATGTGTATATTCATATTTGATGATTTTAATGTTTTTTTATGCTGTAAGCTTCCCATCTTGTTTCACTTCGAAATGGGCAGCAAATAAACAAACAAACAAGACTCATGCACTCACACACACACTGTAGGAAGTTTTATCCCTCCCTCATCTGCCTTCTCTCTTCCAAATTCTTCTTCTCTCTTTCAGTCCCTTGGTCATTTTCCTCTAAAGTGGATAAAACTAGACTAAACTGGTAGTTTCCAAACTACTAGAGAAAAAGATTATAGCCGGTGAAGAATTTGAAGGATAGATCAGGAAGAATTGCCAGAGAAGATGAAATACACCTAAATACAGAGCCTGTAGTACAGTGGACTAAAGCACTGTTATTAACATCTGCTGCTTGCAATTACTGCAAGTTCAAATCTCACCATGCTCAAGATTGACTCAGCCTGCCATCCTTTCTAAGGTAGGTGAAATGAGGATCCAGATTGTGGGGGCAGTAAGCTGACTTTGTATATACAAAAGGATGAAGGCTATTGCTTAACGCATTGTAAGTCGCCCTGAGTCTCCGGAGAAGGGCGGCATATAAATTAAAGCAAAAAAAAAAAAAAAAAAAATCTCCCAGAAAGTATCTCAGAAACTATAAAATATTTGGAACCATATAGTTTATTCTTTTTCTTCTTTTGGTATCCCTTTGTGGGCAAAATGATTACAACACAAATCTCAAAAGACATTGGATTCCTTCTTTGCATCTTGCACAGTCCCAAGATATATATGGGGCTAGCTAAGTATGCCGAGTTGGGGAAAAACACATGCAGTTCAAATGCTTTGTGAGAAGCCAAATTCAGCCTTTGCCTAATGAAACGTCTATATTGCTTAGGCAGACCACCATTCCTGGCTCCAGAAAGGGCATTAGGAGTGGCTGAAATCATCTGCCCATAAGCGCTCGCTCTTGCAACCTATCCTAATTCCCACCCTTCCTCATCTTAAAGTACAGTACCCCCTTTTGGATCATTGGACTGAATTGGGAGCTCCTTTGCAGACCAAATTTATGTCTCAGAGACAGAATCACAACCAACATGCTACTTCAAATCTAAATAATTCCCAAAAAGCATACTGCTTTAGTTCAGATCTTCCAAAGAGCAGAGATATTTTCCCCTTTCTCCAGCTCCCAGCCCGCTTCTCCCCTTCTCTCCTCCCCCCTCCCCCCCCCTTTGAATGCCCTGGAAATGGACTGATGAATATGAGAAACTGTACTCTGCATTCAATTAGCACGATCTGCACACTGCTGAGAACTACTATTGATCACTGCTCCCCTCTTCCCACATAATAGATCACTGTGATATTCAACCATAAGGCTGAAGGAAATATTCCCCCCGACCCCCCCACCCCCCCGCTCCCCAGCTTCTCTTTTTAAACTTCCAAAGCTCAACAAGACCCATACTGGGGGCTGTAAAAGATCAGCCACTTTGTTTTGCACAGTGGGAGAAACATATGAAGTACCAAAAATATCCAATCCCAAAATTGTATCTGACCTGTAAAATAATAATATATAGGAGAAGAAGGGATTCCTGCTGGTGTACTAATCACCCCACTTCTTGGGTCAGAATATACATCCTCAATAAATATTAACATCAGCTGCCTGCAATTACTGCAAGTTCAAATCTCACCAGGCTCAAGGTTGACTCAGCCTTCCATCCTTTTTAAGGTAGGTAAAATGAGGACCCGGATTGTGGGGGCAATAAGCTGACTTTGTATAAATATACAAAAGTATGAAGGCTATTGCTTAACGCATTGTAAGCCGCCCTGAGTCTCCGGAGAAGAGCGGCATATAAATCAACCTCCCCCCCCCAAAAAAAATGCAAATATGTATTATAAATAAACATAATAAATATAAATGAATAACATCAAATTTAATTAATTATCTTATCGAACAGTCAAAGAAGCAAAGCATGCATGGCTAAGCAAAACAGTCAAGAACATTAGAATTTTAACTGATGCAAGTTAAAAATTGGAACTAACTGAATGTACAGAAAACAAAACATGAATGTCGAAATAATGTAATAAAACACAAACAATGCTGGCAAGGAAAAGCATAACATGGTCAATTATTACAAAAAAATTGAGGGGAAAGTGGTTAAAGAGAAGACCATACAAGCTTCTGCAAAAAAATTGCAGAGACTATAAACAATGACATAACCAAAACGATTCACTGGAACTTCTATAAAAATTACCATTTGCCAGTAATTAAAAATTGGTGGGAACATATACAGTAGTAGAAAAAGTAATTGAAAATGAGCGGATGAAAATATTGTGATACAAGTAGTCCTCAACTTACAGCAGTTCATTTAGTGACCGTTCAAAGTTACGACGACACTGAAAAATGTGACTTATGACCATTTTTCAGAGTTATGACTTTTGCAGCATCCCCATGATCATGTGATCAAAATTCAGATGCTTGGCAACGGGTTCATATTTATGACGTTTGCAAGCAAAGTCAATGGGGAAGCCAGATTCACTTAACAACCGGGTTACTAACTTATCAACTGCAGTGATTCACTTAACCATTGTGACAAGAAAAGTAAAAAAAATGTGGCAAAACTTACTTAAAAATGTTTCACTTAACAACAGAAATTTTGGGCTCAGTTGTGATCATAAGTTGAGGATTACCTGTATTTCCAAATACAAACTGATAATCTTGGTGTATAACGCATCAAATTTAACTGTGGTTGAAAAGAAAAAAGTGTGGATAATTGATGTGGCGATACCAGGGGGCAGCAAAATAGAAGATAAAGAACTGGAGGATCACAAAGTATCAAGATCTGCAAACTGAAGTTGAAAGATTATGGCATAAACTGGCAGTGGTGAGCCCACTGATTATAAACCCACTGGGTGCCACACCAAAATACCTTGGACGGCAATTAGAAAATCTGCACATTGATAAAATTTCCATCTGTCCATAACAAGAGGCCACATTGCTGTGATCTGCACATATCCTATGTTGATAAATTCCAACACCTTAGGTTCTTGGGAAGAACTTGCTGTAAATCAGGGATGCCAAAGCTAGGTAATTTTTAAGATTTGTGGACTTCAACTCCCAGAATTCCCCAGCCAAGATGGGAGTTGAATTCCACAAGTCTCAGAGTTGCCAAAGTTGGACACCCCTGAAGTAAATGAAGGCCACTACTAGTTAAAGAAATGGCAGCTGTGATTTCATGTTGTTGTGTATAATAGTTTATTAAATATATAAGCCACCTGACTCCCACAGACTCTCAAAAGCTGCTCAGAGATGGCACTGCATCCTGACAGCAAAGACTAGTTTTGGCAGGATGCATATGTTAAAAATTAATACAGAAATAACATCTAAGACTAAGAAAATAATCTTTCCAATTTGCGCCACATCTTCAGGAGATATTTCTTTGCTTTTCTTGTAGCTTCTTTTGCCAGTTTAATTTTGGAGAATATTTAAGATAGTGGCCTAAATATATAATAAGCTCTGTCCACAGGCACAATTTAATAAAAGCAAACGATCCAGATATATTGTTCAATTTCACAGTTACAGAATAACCAATCAATGAAAAACCAGCAGCTTATTGATTTTCTCACTGCCCTGCGATGGTTGCTCCCTTCCTACCCTACTTTTTGTTTAAAAAGTTTCACAGCACAATAAAAAAAAAATTAAGATACACAAGAACAGTAGATTAGCTAAAGAACATTCTAGACTTTTCACCAAGCAGGACAGCATAGCTGCTCCACTCTTTTTGGCAGCACTGCACAAACTGTACCCTGCAATGCTTAAACTCCATGGGTTTTAATCAGTGGTGAAATCCAATTTTTTTTAATCTATCAGTTCTGTGGGCGTGGCTTGGTGGGCGTGGTGTGACTTGGTGGGCGTGGCAGGGGAAGGATACTGCAAAATCTCCATTCCCACCTCACTCCTGGGGGAAGGATATTGCAAAATCTCCATTCCCAACCCACTCTGGGGTCAGCCAGAGGTGGTATTTGCCGGTTCTCCGAACTACTCAAAATTTCCGCTACCAGTTCTCCAGAACCTGTCAGAACCTGCTGGATTTCACCCCTGGTTTTAATAATGTATTTTTCAAAGACACAGTACTAAGCCTTCCATATTCAAAACCAGAGCAAGAAAAAAAAGCTTTTTATACAAACCTGGGCTGGCACTCTGGAGCAAACTAGGGGGGGAGCCTGGGGGCCGGAGTTGCAAATCCCTTTGCTATAACAGAAAGAGAAGAGACACATATACTTCAGCTGGTTTAGTTTCCATTGAGCAACAGCTCTGAAGCAAGCCCCCATTCCCTGAATGCAAAGCTTTCAGCTCCCTCATCTGAACTCAAAACCCTCTGATCTAGCAGGACAGTCATATTAGTAAAGACCTAACCATACTCTTAAACGAGGAGAAGTGAAGATTGAATGGGAGCTTCAAAAATCCATAGGAACTTTGGGATTTATATCTCAGATTCTCAATTACCCAATGGATACTTATTACTGTAAAGAGGAAGGTGAGCTGATTGCAAATACTGTATACAAGAACCATTACCCAGAGAAGAGAGACAGAAACAGCAGGGGGGGCGATCAGCTGTGCAGCGCAGTTTAGCTTTGCTAGAAAGCAAAAAATCCTCCTCCCCCCCCCAGCTTCTACTTACCTTCCCAAGCCTCCTTTTGGCACATGCTACGTATGCACTCGTGTACAGAGCGCACATTTGGTACGCACTGCACATGCCCACGCAGAATGCGCTTGGCGCACAGTGCACATGCGCAGCCAGCGAACCAGTAGCAAACTGGTTGGGATTTCACCACTGGTCCAGAGCCACATTTGGAAAAGGCCTGTGTGATTTACTGGTGCGAGTGGAGTTTTGTTCAATGACTACTTTGCTTAGCAACCATTCAATGTTACAACAGCACTGAAAATGTAACTTTACAACCAATCCTTGCGCTTATGACCATCGCAACATTCCCCCATGGTCATGCAAGGGAAACATGAACACTCCCAACAAGCAGAGTTAACGGAGAAGCCAGCAGTAAAATGGCAAATCATGGTCAAATGATCTCTCACTTCTTGACCACAGGTGATTGGTTTAATGACCATGGTGGAAGTGAGGTTGTAAGCCCAGCCCACTGTGGGCACATGATGTTTTGCTTAATGACTGAATTGCTTAGCTATGGAGTTGGCAGTCCCAATTATGGTGGCCACCTGTATAAGAATAGGGAGGAGGTAGTCCCCAGATTAAGAACAAGTTCCATTCCTAAATATGTCTATTTTTGAATTTGTATGTAAGAACATGTACAGTTATGATACATATCATAACTGCAGCCAGAATTGTGTACGCACAAAACTGGAAAAATAATACTATACCATCATGTTTGCTTATAAATCAGTATATTAATATAGTAGTATGTATAATGTATAAAGGACAATGGAACCACATGTATAGATAAATTGATGTAAAGGAAAAAACGGACATATAGCGGATGTATACCGATACAGAAATGTTGCAAAGAGGAAAATTGTTAAAAAATATATTAAAAACTGTTCAAAAATTATGAAAAAAAGAAAATGTACTTACAAACAGACTATTACAAATAGTCCTTGATTTATGACCGCAATTGAGCCCAACATTTCTGTTGCTAAGCAAGACATTTGTTAAGTGAATTTTGCTCCATTTTACAACCTTTCTTGTCACTGCGGTTGTTAATAACAATGATATTAAGCGAATCTGGCTTCCTCATTGAATGTGCTCGTCAGAATGTCACAAAAAGGGATCATATGAACTCAGGACACTGTAATCATCATAAATACATGCTAGTTGCCAAGTATCCGAATTTTGATCACGTGACTATGAGAATGCTGCAACAGTCGTAAGTGTGAAAAATGGTCATAAGTCATTTTTTTCAGTGCCATTGTAACTTCAAACAATAATTAAATTAATGGTTGTAAGCCAAGGGCTACCTATACTACAAAAGGCAGATGCCATTCGCCTTCTTCAAGCCCATGAAATGCTGAAGCCACATAATGTTTTCATGAAACACTGAAAACAGGCAGTATATTCAAATCCTAAATCTCCAGTGTGAAATCACAGTGTGGCTTCAGCAGTTCATTGGCTCAAGGAAGGAGAAGGCCTTCTGCCATGTTTAATAATACTCAGCCCATTTATAAGTACATATTGTCTGTAAATCAGACCTTCTTAATCTGGGGACTGGATCAATCTTGCAAAATTCTGTTATTGCAGCCAATCTCAATAAATTAGTTTGTGTGTGTGTGTGTGTGTGTGTAATTGATTTCCTGATCTGGTCTACCTAGAAGGGTGTTGTATTCACAAGGAATACAGGCTTTAAGTAAGTGTTTGGTGTAAAGTGCTACTTTTCTGGAAATTGTGTTCTTCACAGATCCATTTAAACTCTGTCAAATCCCTCTGGGATCTTGCAGACCATGAGAGCTTCTATTAAATTCCAATAATTAAACAATTATGTACAATTACAAAGTTGCCACATTAATCTAATGCCCTAAACACTAACCTGCCATAAACATTAGTTAGCAGGATCAATGTTCAGGCAAATAATTATCTGGAAGGACACAAGTTCCTCAATCCTACTTCAAGGTTTAAACGCGTTTAGAGCAAAATATTAACAAAACAAATAACCTTTTCACTCTCCTCCGTTTTAACTACCGTATTTTTTGGTCTACAAGATGCACTTTTCCACGTCCCCAAAAGTGGGTGGAAATATCTGTGCGTCTTATAGAATGAATGTTGCTGAAGCCTCACCCACCCGCTGGCCCCTACCCTTCAGCCTCTGCCTCCCAGCAATTTGCCTCCTTGCAGCAAACAGCAAACAGTCTGGTCAGCTTCAGCACAGCCCGATTTAGCACAAGCAGCGGATTGGCAGTTGCATCAGCCTCCTGAGACGCTGCTGATCAGCTGTACCAGGCTGCAGGGATCACCACCACCCATGCCCATCGCCACCTCCGTGCGCCCCATTTTCGGCCTCCGTGTGCCTTATTTTCGACCTCCACGCGTCCCATTTTTGGCCTCCGCGCGCTTCATTTTCAGCACCCACGTGTCCCATTTTCAGCCTCTTCCAAGAGGCAGGGATTGCCGCCACTGCTGCCTATCGCTGCCATTTGAAACCGGCCAAAAACAGGATATGCAGAGGCTGAAAATGGGTCGCGCATCGGCGATGGACGTCGGTGATCCTCGCAGCCTGGAACAGCTGATCGGCAGTATTCCAGGAAGCCGATCCAACCATAAATCAGCTGCTCGTGCTAAATCAGGCTGTGTTGAAGCTGACCAGGCTGTTTGCTCTTTGCTGCAAGGAGGCAAATTGCTGGGAGGCAGAGGCAGTTTTTTTTTTTTTCTTGTTTTCCTCTCCAAAAGCTAGTTGCGTCTTATAGTCCGGAGTGTGTTACAGTCTGAAAAATATGATAAATAGAAAATAAATATTGACCAGTACAGGTAGTCCTTGACTTACAACCACAATTGAGCCCAACATTTTTACTGCTAAGAAAGGCAGGTGTTGAGTTTTACTCCATTTTATGACTTTTTGCCGTAAGCAGATCACTGGTTAAACAAATCATGTAATCCTTAAATCTGGCTTCTTCCAATTATTTTGTCAGAAGCCAATGAGGAAGGTCATCACATGATGCAGGACAGTGCAACTGTCATAAATACATGCCAGTTGCTAAGTGACAGAATTTTAATCATGTGACCAAGGGGGCGCTGCACTGGTCATAATTGTGAAAACTGGTAATAAGTCACTTTTTTTAGTACTGTTGTAATTTTGAACGGTCACTAAGCGAATGGTTGTAAGTCAAAGACTACTGGTACAGGACAAGTTTTAAAAGATTTAAACAAATATTCTTGTTTTGTTTTGTGCATCAATTGGTCAACCAATAATATTCTCCATTTTTTTTTCCTTCAGGGACACCAGCAGTACATCTTTGAGAAAGAAGACTAATAATTTGATAGCAAGTGATAGAAAAGGAACCTCTCTGCCTCAGCAACTTAAAAGATACTCGTAGTCATCTACCACTACTGAGCAAGATAAACTATTAGCTTATTTTGATCCTATTAATTGGAACTTCTTTTTTAGAAAGATTCAGGAAGTAGTCATACAATTAACTTATTTTCACGAATTCTGCCTCCACCCTCTGCTATTAATGGAATATAATTATCATTTATCTTTACCTAAAATAAATCGATTGGCTCATTTCAAGTCATTTACTCCTGTTCACAAACATTCAACGACAACAACATTAGGATAGATAACGCTGTACTCTAACTTTAAGAATAAACAATTATGTCTTTTCACATGGAATAATCAGCAGCTTGCCTTCAGAAGTTGTGGGTCCTCCATTACTGGAGGTTTTTAAGAATAGACTCGACAATCACTTGTCTGAAATGGTATAGAGCAGGGGTGTCAAACTCAAGGCCCGTGGGCCGAATCCAGCCTGCCTGGATGCTTAGATCTGGCCCACGGGGCTGCCCTGGAAACAGTAAAGGACCGGCCCACGATGCCTCTGACAGCGAAAATAGAGCTCAAAGAGCTCTGTTTTCGCTGGTAGAGGGTTGCAGGAGGCCATTGCAGCTGAAAACAGAGCTCGGGAGCCCATTTTCACTGGCAGAGCACTCGGGCCGCCATAGGCGCCCCGACACAAGTGATGTTGAGCTGGCCACACACACACACACACACACACCCCCGAGATCAACCACAACCCTGATGCAGTCCTCAATGAAATCGAGTTTGACACCCCTGGTATAGTGTCTCCTGCTGAACAAGGAAGTTGGACTAGAAGACCTCGAAGGTCCTTCCCAACTCTGTTATTCTGTTAATAACTTGTTTGTATCAGAACCCAAAAAGCAGCCTTTGCATTATGAAGCCCTTTGATATAAATTATAGACCTGGGCTGCTTGTTTAATTTTTATCTGTAAAATTTAGCTGTAAGAAGTAAAAATGCTACAGAAGTAAGTAAGTAAGTAAGTAAATAAACGTGTGCGTATGGGTAAGATGGCATGATCTACCTTGGATCTGCTGCTGCTGCATTCAGGCAGAAGATTCTTGCAGTTTTTGTGAACATTTACTGCGCAATCTGGCGAGGAAAGAAAAAGAAAATTGAGATCATTTTTCATCAATGAACACTGACACTCATATGCGGTTACCCTAAGGTCAGCAGGGTCTTTAAGAGGCTACAGAATGACAGTCCTATAGAAACAACACCAATATGGCACATGCAAACCAATGCGATGCTGACGATTCCAAAGAATACCAGGGACTGCACTTACAGATATGCACGTTACATTGCAAATGTGTTGCAAATCCTCAGACATCTTTTCCCATAGTCGTTTTTTAGGGTCGGTTAACCATGCAATCCCAAGTGAAGATGTAGCTGCTTTAGAGAGTTGCACCTGTCACAGGGACACCCTGTGTGCCCAAATGACCTTTGTTCCTTTGCACAGCCCTATTAAAGAGTACACCATCAAAGCTGACACCAGCCAGAGCACAGAAAAACTCAAAGACGTAGTGCAAGATCGGAAGAGGTGGAGAGACCTGGCCCATAGAATCGCCAAGAGTCAGGCATGACTGAATGGATGACCTCATCCCCATCATTAAAGAGTAACTAGTTAGGAAAGCTCATCTCCCTCCAACCAATTAGCCCAAACCCTCCTTGAACAGCAAGGATATATACTATAAGGTGGTCAGCAGTATTCGTTTAACACACATTACCTATCAAAATATTCTTCTAAACACATGAAACTGTCCTAGACTGAATTCAGGCCACTGGTCCTTCCAACCTTACATTTTTTCTCACTAATTGTAGTTCGCCCAAATCGAGGCAAGTAATTTAATTGGAAATACCAGAGTCTAAAACTAGGATCTCCTCCATGAAAAGTTGGTGCTTCAAACCATGTCTTTTTAAACCCCTGCAAGCGGCTGGAATCATCACAAAATTCTGTCTACTGAATGTTGATCGTTACAGCATGATATCGAGTGGGCTCTCTCTTCTAGTTTTCCTGCTGATCAAGGAGCAGCAAGGAGGAGCAGCAGAAGCTGGGAGGTAGCAAAACTGAAAAGGGCCACCTGAATTAGTTTGTGCACTGTCTGAGCAATACTACACCCCAATACTAACTCTGTTGTAACTGGCACTGGATACCCAGTGTCCAGGGTAGATAAGAGGACTTTTCCAGATCACAAATTGACAAGTTTTTAAGCAAAGTTCATAACCTCGGTATTCAAGACGTATCCATGTGGAACTAGAATGATCCAGATATATAGCCTGTTAGGAACCACTGCCTTTTAACACAGTTAAAGTTGGTTTTTGCTTCTCTGGTTTTGCTCAGAGTTGCCAAACGCTGGCTGAATACCGCCCTCTCCTGCAACAGACAGACGTCAAGTTCGGAGGCTACAGTTTCCAAGGCAAACTGAACCTGATTACATAAGTCACACAAGATATAGCCCCATAAACGGCAGCCCTTTCGCACTCCAGCAACCGCACACCATGTCCTTGCAACAAACAGGCTGAACTGGCTAAGAAGCGAACAGCTTAAGACTCAGCTTTGAGTGTTAGCAGAACCGTTTGGGCCGCAGCACCAGGAAGCAAAGATTTATGCTAAACTCAGAGCCTCCTCTATTCCGGAGCCATTTGAACAGAGGGAAAATGTACAGGACCTGATTTTTTTAAAAAAAAAAAAAACTTATTTGACTGAGATCATCATTTTTGTGCAAGCATAAGAGAAAACCAAAAGCTGCTTCTCTGTGATTTCTACTTGGAGGAAACTTTTCCTTGCCCCGGAAGAGGTTAAGCAGAGACATTTACAAACCTGGAAGCAATATAAGCAACGGCACCTGGTTACAGCCATGGAAAAAGTCTTCATCCTTCCCCACCATGAACTATCAATATGTAAAGCTGCTGCTCCACCCTTTAGTTCAATAATAGAGAGCGCTTATTAGGTGACACCCCACACCTTGCCGGAGGGGTAGAGCGTTTTATTTTTTGCCCAGAATGGACACCACCTTTCTTACACTTCCTTTAAATCTTTTCACAAAAAATTAGTCATTTTATTTTATCTCCTCTTTGGCTGAAATCCAACTTTATCGCTTATCACTGAAACATGGCATACAGGTAGTCCTCGACTTACAACAGTTTGCTTAGTGACCGTTCAGAGTTACAACAGACCTGAAAAAAGTGACTTATGACCGTTTTTCACAGTTACGACGAGAAAGATCGTAAAATGGGACATAATTCACTTAACGAATGTCTCACTTAACAGCAGAATTTTTTTGGCTCGTACGTTTGTCGTACGTTGAGGACTACTTGTATTCTTCCTTGTCCTCTGGCCCCTCGTTGAAACCCTTTGAGATCCGTATCTGACCTTTCTCTTCTACCGTGGAGAGCGCTGAGCAGACTGGTGAGGTCCAGCAAAGAGCTGAAGCAGCAACGGAAAGACCAAAGGGCAGCTGAAGCACCACCTCTCAAGGCCTGCCAGGCAACCTAAGTTTTCAAATGTCTCCCAGAGGAAGAGGCCCTTCAACATTTCTTCCCAATACCTTCCCCTCCCACTCCCACTTCTGACCCAGACAGCCATGAGAATGACTTGAAAGAAGTACAGAACGAGACACCAGGAACAAAAATAACTAGAGTGACCTCACCCTCAAAGGTATTTGAAGTATTCTAGGAAGTGGAAATGCTGAAAAGCAGAAACCAACCGGTCTTACCTCAAAGCTCCGTTCTGCCTGTCTTTTGAATTGTTTCAAAGGCAAATTTGCACGGCAGAAGCTCAAAGAGATTCTGAAACCAAAGTCCCAACATCTGTCATAATTTCCCAGCTCCTGCAGCGCTGAAGGCAGAATCTTTATCATACATGTCAAAACGGCTTGGCCAAAAAAAAAAAAAAACAACCCAAAAGACAAACAAACACACACACCTGAAATTTGTCTCTAAGTTTATTCCAGTCCATGGGAAAAGCCCCTGAAAGCTTATTGCTAGACTTTATAATTTCAGACATGGTGTGGTGAACTGAATGCAGGTAGTCCTTGACTTATAACCATTCATTTAGCGACCGTTCAAAGTTACAACGGCACTGAAAAAAGTGACTTATGACTGTTTTTCACACTTATGACCATTGCAGCATCTGTATGGTTACGTGATCAAAATTCGGACACTTGGCAACTGTCTCATATTTATGACAACTGCAGTGTCCCGGGTGGGGTGGGGGTGAGGGGTCAGGTGATCATTTTGCAATCTTCTGACAAGCAAAGTCAATGGGGAAGTCAATTTTCATCTAACAACTGCGTTACTAACTTAACAGCTCCAGTGATTCACTAAACAACTGTGCAAGAAAGGTTGTAAAATGCAGCAAAATTCACTTAACAATTGTCTTGCTTAGCAACAGAAATATTGGATTCGGTTGTGGTCATAAGTCAAGGACTACTGTATAGTCATGTGGGAAGTTTCCCTGTAAGAAAATTAACTCAAGACAAAACAAAAACAAAAACAGGCTATTGGGACCAAAATATATTTGAGGATATCTCTTTGTCAACAGATGCTGGAAAAAAACCAAATTAAGATTTCTAAAGGGACACATACTTATATCTCCTAAAAAGGACCCCCATAAACATATAATATTTTAAAAACACTTATCATACTACATCCACCCAAACTTCCTTAATCAAGGATTAAGGTAATAAGCATGTTCACATTCACTTTATTTAGCATTATGTTTGTTTAGCATTATGTTCAAAGGATAATTGGTTTGTTCTTCTTTTAATATCCCAGAATTATAAGTGAGGTTTTGTTTTTGGCTCATGCAGAAACAAATTAAGATGTAACACTTATTTTTTTTAAAGGACAGAAAATTTCTCTAGCCGCTCTCGCTAGCAGCAACCAGTCAAAACTGTCTTTGAAAATTTTTATGATTTATCAGAAAATAAAATAAAAAGGAAAATAAAAAAATAGTGGTAAACTAAGAGAGGGAAAAGGGAAAGAAGAAAAAATGTGGGGTATTGGAGGGGGGAGAAGAAAAAAGCATTGACTTCTGACTCTTTTTAGCACAGTAGAAGTTAATAACATTACCTTCAAATTTTTACACAGTATATATACTAGCCATTTCTACTACAACAAACATCTCACCAGCAAAAACCAAAATCAAAGTTTCATTTTTTTTTTCATCACAAGCACAAGCACAAAATCCAGAAACAATTTCCAAAGCAATAAGCCACTGAACTGAACCTGCATCACTAGCCTACTTCCTCAAATTTCTTATCTTTATGTATGAGCTGGACGCATACACCTCCGTTGGAAACGTTACAACATATCACAACCTCTTTTAAATGAAGGCTAAAAACAATATATTCAACTTCTGGTGGTGTTAAAAAAAGGGGAAGGCGGGACTTATAACCAGTCCTCGCACTTACAACTATTGCAGCATTCCTACAGTCACATGATCAAAATTTGGGTGCTGGCAAACCGGCATGTACTTACTATGGTTGCAGTGTCCGGGATCATGTGATCTCGCCACTTGCAATCTTTCCAGTTAGCTTCTGACAAGCAAAGTCAATGACAGAAGCCAGATTCACTTAATAACTTTGTGATTCACATAACAACCATGGCAAAAAAGTTCATAAATTGAGGGGGCGAGGGCCACTCATTTAAACACAGCCTTGCTTAGCAATGGAAATTCTGATCTAAATTGTGGCCATAAGTTGTGGACTCCCTGTATTGTATTTTTTTTTTCTTTTTTTTAATCCTTGTAAACTGCCCAGTATTATTGACAAATGGGCAGCCCTAGAAATTTAGATGGTAAATAAATGATAAATTGAACCAGGTCTCAAAGTTCAATCTGGCTATTAGGTGCAGCCCCTTTTTCTCAGTCGCCATACACTCACCTCATCTCTAAACGCAAATTATTTTGTAGAGAGAAGACAATGCAGGAGAAAAATTCTTCAAGAAGCTTTCAGTCTGAGAAACATCAAGCACCAGAGACCTCAAATAGACAGACTTTTAGGCATCTCTTTCCTATTTCACCTGCCTGGCATGCAGTAAACCTGGTTATTTGAGTAGGAGGACAGTGAGGTGAGACACGGATCCTTCCA